AACAATACTTACCAGGAGCCAGAGCTGTTGAAAGCCATTTTAATCCAAAATTGCCTGTCTAGTGTTTCATAAAGCTCAAATTTTTCTTCCAAATAAAATATATAAAATATTTAAGGTGATTATATTTTCTGTGTTGTAATATTATGCTCCTTTCTGATGGATTATTTTCAAATTTGCGTGCAGACATTTTTTTCCCTGAAATAAAATATATCAACCTCAAGTGTCCTTCTGTTCCTACTCAACTATGAAATTCATAAGGATATTATGTATCTGAAAAAAAATTTATATATATATATATATATATAAAATCTGTAGACTACATCATATGTCCCAATGTAGGTCTACTTCTCTTCCAATATTGTCAGTTAATAATTTAATGACATTATCACGTTGAAGCCGAGAAGTTGGCTAATTTAAGATTCCCTTTATGCCGTCGCTTTCCACACAGGTTGTGTTCACTGCTGGGTCCGGAAGTAATCTGCATTGATGCCAACATCAGATTATTTGACTGAGAGAAATGAACAAGTACAGGTGTCGGATGAGGCAGATGATAAAAGCGAGGCCAGAAAAGAACCAAGGAAGCTGGCAAGGGTTTCGAGCGCGCGATCCAAAGTATAAATTGAACTGGAAAAAATAACCATTGATTTTGGCACAACACAGTAAGAACAGTTCCTTACCCTTCTCTGTCACACTGATTTCCAATGTCTTTCCACATGTATTACCTGTCCCTGGGGGGCAACAGGGCCCTATCTTGAAGACTTCAGGCTAAAATAAGGAGGCCCTGACTCAGCCCTAGGTGGGTGCTCACCTCTAAAACGCAGCGCTGCAGCCTGCCGGCTTCCCTGGCTTACTGCTGAGGACATCCTTGCAACTGCTTAGAAAGAACTCCGTGCCAGGCAAAGGCCATGTACCCATAGGCACTAGAGGCAGTAGGGTTCTGAGTGTAGTAATAAAAATAAATACAAATCATGTTTTAAATAGACAAACCATTGTACGTGGTTTCAACTTTTTGCCCATTTGAGGGTTTTTTTTTTTCCTTCAAAATAATTGTCGAGAGAAACCAGACCTCAATTTTAAAGTTCATTGCAGGGATTCCCAAGTGCAACCCACTGCCATTCTAGTGACTACAACTGTAGGGGAAGCCGGTCCTGTGCACGTTATGCCTGAGTCACTCTGGCTGTTAGGTGAGCTCCTACAGGTGAGCTGAGTTGTGGCAACGGGATTCACTCGGCCAAGAAAGACCATTTCCCATCGGCTCTTGACAGTTTGCTGGTCCCGTCTTAGACAATTGTGGAACGTGGTTAGCCATCTTGTCACATACATGCCTGTGATAATGGGATGTCTCTTAGGCTTCGTACACCTGTCTCAAAAATGAAAGAAAGCGAGCACCCAAGGGAAGTACATTGAATTTTTTATTACTTTTCAAAAATCCAATTTCAGTTAGGTAACAGACTAGATTAGAACCTTGATGGTATGTGATACAGTATTCAATGAATTCCTATGACTGAAGGCAGGTGGAAGATGGCCTGCTCAAACCAGGGTGAGTGCACAACGGAAGTCACCACTGAGCAGTAACTGTTTCCTTCCAATGACTTCCAATTCCTTCCTGCCAACGACTGTCCGTGCTCGGTGGGGGCGGAGGCAAGTCTGACACGACTGAAAAGCCCATGTGAGACAGTGCTAGCGCTTTTCCCAGGATGCAATGTTGTCTTTCAAACAAAACTCCTGTTTCTTCCTTGCCTAAATGTCTTTCTTTCAAAGGACCTAAACTGATCATTAGGGTACACACGCAACAAGGGGCTTGTATCAAGCAGCAGGCTGCTGTAATTTTATTTTCAGCAACCTTACTTCACCAATGCTTCAACACAGGCAATTTTTGCACCAGTGAAAGAACTTCACTTTGATTTTGTCTACAGTTCCAATAAAACAGTCAAATCAAATGGCTTAGGACATGCTTGTATGGTTCTAGAGCTATTCCTCATACCAACTGAAAACCTGATAGAAAGTTTTGGTGGCTCACTTTCTGCTCTAGCCTACTTCTAACTAGTCTAATCTATATGTACACATGTCCAAACTGAGCAGTTTTAATAAATTTTCATATCTCTGGCCTTTTAACACCTTGGTTGCTAAAATATAGTTTAAAAACTATAGAATATAAAAAACATCAGAGAATGTTTTCATGTCACTATGCCTATTTAATTACACATTGCAGTAAATCAAAAGGATGAAGTGCTAAGCCACACTGCAACCGAAATTTAAACCCTGATGGATTACAAATAGGCTTTCATCTCCCTGGAATTAATATACCAAAGCCATTCGGTACTTATTTTCCTGAACAAATTACATGAATACACTTCTGTCTCTTTTTTTTACATTTGTTAAGCATTCAAAACGTTATTTTAATAACATTTATTTGCAATGACATTTGGCATACGGTGGTTAATGAACATTTAGAAAAGGAAAGCTTTATCAAAATGAATACAATGTGTGGACAAACCTTAAATAAAGTGGCTATGGGAAGAAATGTTATTTGCAGCAACCACCTTTAAAAAGAGGTCCATCTGCTCGCAATGGAAAACACCCCGGCACACCACTAGGTTCAGGTGTTAACACAATAGAATGAATTCTATGACTGCAGGGGCAGGGGCAGGGGCAGGGGCAGGGGCAGGCACATGATTTACGGGCAAAACCCAGTACAATCGAGGCACCCAACATGGTATACTAAAGATTGCTTTACCATCTGTCCAGGCTCAGTTCCATTTCAACCTCCTCTGGTACCAGGATAATGGATAATGTCGTTAACTACCAGTGCAGTTGCATTTCTGGGGAAACGTGCTTAGACACACGAGGGAGGTTCACCCTTTAGTTAGTTGTGGACAGTGTTCATAACATCAGTTGGTACACTGAGTAAATGATGTTAGCAAATAAAAGGCATACACAGAATGACTGGGGTGGAAAAATCCCACCTTTTAATAACTCTAAATCATATTCTAGTTCACTCAGCAGCTCAGTGCTATGAAGCCAAACCATTTGTGAATTGCTTTCTTCATAACACACACGTGCAGGCACACATGCACACATACACATTCACCCGACCCCTAGCCAAAATGTTATTTTTAAAGGACTTTCCAGGATGTCCTGGAAATTAATGGAATTCTATGAATGTATTTAAAAATCAACATTTTTTTTCACTACAGATTTCAAAGAATTTCAGTGCTCACGTTCGTAGAAAGAACTGGTGCGCCTGAAAGCAGCTACACCGCACATTCATTAATAACCCTACATCTTACCTGCAAGATTCCTACCGTGAGAAACAAATTTCATTTTATTAAGACAAAAGCTGGCTGTCCAATTTACAATCCATCAGACAATGTGTTTTATGTTAAAAGTACCTTACATGAAGTAAAAAGTTATATAAGCAATTAAATGTTGATTTTGGTTTCTTATAAGATCTTAAGGGCAGGTGAGACGGAAGGAAAAAAATGGAAGAACTGGAACGTTACATTTCATAGACCATCTGGCTTAAGAGGAGGATTTACCTCCAGCTTCTGGTCCAATTGCTGTTTCTTCTCTTCAACCACACTTGGGTAGTTAAGAAAGCAGCTTTCCAGTCTCACATGCCACACAGGAGATGGAGCCCATCAATTTATAGAAACATATTTTATAAATACTGTTTTAACTATTAAATGGCATGAGTTGCACATTAAGGTTTAAATACAGCTGTTTGGAGTCTTTCTAAAAATACCAATATACAGCATTGTTTCAGGTGGTCATTTGCATAGCAAACTATTAAACTAGAAGCTCAACGTTCCTAGGAAAGCTTCACATTATGAATAGTTCTAGAAAGATGTATTCAAAATTAAAATACTTCTCCTTAGAAAACTGAAACCTTTAGTTGTTGACCACTTTTAGCCCATCCACACAGTACACCAACCTGAACAGACTTTTGTGCCACAGTTTAATTCAAGAAGGGCTTGGCATTGACTTCCTAGATAGCATCTAGATGTAAGCACAAGTAAGCAAGCTTGGGGACTGTAAAGTGTGGGCCCCCTGTATTAGAAAAGCACAATTTATCTTTGTAAAAATGGCATTCGGTAGTATTGCCTTTCAAACAGGTATTTTCAAATTGCAAACACATCTCTTCTCACAAAACAATTTGGTCAGGAAATTTTATTTTAACAGTCTAGAGCAGTAATGCTTCAGACTTACTTAAGTGTCCCAGACAGGATTAACAAAATCAAATCTTTCTAAATTACAAATTTAACTCCTGGAGGAGTCTCGGGGGAGGAAAAAAAGGAAGAAGAAAGAAAAGAAAAAAACAACCTCCCATCCCAAAATAAGTATGACACACAAATTTTGAAGAAGCCCCAATGTTTCATGCAATGGTAGGCAAGGTGTCAAAAGCCACCGAAATTCACACATTTCTACACCAATCATCATCAGAAAAAAGTACTCTGTAGTCGATCTGTACAACCAAATGCATTTGGGAATCTACACCTACGTTACATTATTTAATGTTATTTACACATTATTACCCACCCCTCACGTTTTTAATATATTTTTTAAAAATGTAAAGCCTTCATTCAAAGCCAAAAAAGATGTAGACTACGTTGAGGGAGAAAAAAGATAATCGCTTTAGACATTCAGTAAAATGTTGTTCAATCTAAATCTGAAAATGTTTAATAAAAACAAGTATCTTCTCCATTAACACTTTGCTTTCTAACTGTACAGTAAACTGCATTGCAGAGAGTACACCTCTTGTCTTCAGACTGTATCTTCTTTGGATGGAATTAAGATGCAACTGGATAGTTTTAAGATAAATAAATGGGGAGTTGGTCCAACTAAGATGACAGCAGATATGTTACATGCAGGAATTAATATGTTTTAATTCTCTCTTTTAAAAAAGGATGCAGTTGAATGGACAGGGGAAAAAAAGTCAAAAAAGAACCCAGATTCAATATATAAAAATGTCCCACAAGAGGTTGATGATGGCAGTAAAAAGAAGAGACAAAGGTAATCTTTCTGGAACATTATTTTTCAATAACGTAGTGACACTGAGTGCCAGGAAGATTGCTAGCCATGTAATCTTAGCATCCAACTTTCCCTCTATTTTATTGGAACAAATGCTTTAAATAAACTATTTGTCCTCTTCACTGAAGAGAGCTGGTCTATTTCATCTTTTATGATCTAGTTTTTGGGAAGATTAGCCATGAACTGTAGTAATGCCTACTGCATAAAATCCAAGCATTTGCTGTGAACAGTGGAAGAAAGCAGTCAGTAAGACCCTAGGATCAATGGGAATAGACGTCACTCTAAGCCATCCGCGAAAAAGACCCACAACGCACCACTGTTACAGCCCACATCTCTTCTTGCGCTTTTTTTTTTTTTTTGCTGTGCATGTTCCACCTGCAAAAGAAACATCGATCCGAAGCTCCAGGTTTTCCTTGGGTCTCTAGTCAATTTTCACGTTAGTATAGATTTTTCGGACAAAGGCACTTGTTCCCATGTAACCAATCGCTCCTGCAAAGACAAAAATAAGGGATTTTGAAACAAATACATACAGCGTGGGATGGTTCCTTTTACAACACCAAGTGATCTCTGCTCGGGAAAGTTTCAAGATAGCAGATTTATGTTAATATTCTCACAGAAGCTATTCGAATGAACTGCGAGCTTGCTTGCTTTTTCTTTTTTGTGTGCTAAGTCACCTGTTAAATCATATAACAAGTGTGATCTGATGTACTTTTTTTCACATATCAGTAACATGGAAATAAAAATGAACCTTTAACAAAACCCAACCCACTGGACTTGAGTCAATTCAGACTCACAGCAACCCTGGAAGGCAGAGTAGAACTGGCCCCACTGGTTTCCCAAGACTACAAATCTGTCCAGGAGCAGGTAGCCTCATCTTCCTCTTGCAGAGTGACTGGTGGATTTGAACTGCTAACCTTGTGGTTAGCAAGATAACACCATCAATGTTCCTTTTGCCACACCTGTCTCATCCCAAACTCATTGCATTGAGCCAATTCTGACTCAAGGTGGGTTTCCCATGTTCTGGAAGGTATAATCATGAGGGAGTAGAAAGCCCCATTTTCCTCCCCAGAGTGGCTGGGGATTTCAAACTGCTCACCTTGCATTCAGCAGCTCAACTCCTAACTACTACACCACCCTTAGGGCCTCCTAGCTTTTCACAAGATTATTCCATCCCTGCTTCCCCTGCCCACCTTTAATAAAGCCCCCAGAAAATAACAGAAAAAGTAGCAGGGTTTGAATTATTCAGTGTTAGAAAATTTGTTTCCACAATGGGCAACCCTTTACTTTTATATCATTCTAATGAGCTAACTAGGAAATAAGCCCAATTTGAGTGAAAAACAGCTCCCCCCCCCCCCCAAAGTAAGCTATTATACACGGAATTAGTGTCATGCAAGTGCTCTGAGGTGAAAATCCGGATTCTGCAGAAACAGACACACAAGCCTGGCTGGGACGGAAGGAAACCCAAGGCCTGCTAGCCCTTGTCAAGGTGGCCGCAGCCACGGCCCCGCCACTCACTGAGCTTCTCACCAGCCACCAAGTCCTCCTCACAGCCCGGGGAGCTGGGGAATGCTGGCCCAAGGCAGAGAGCATACACCAGCGAGCGGTGCTGCCTCCCTGGATATTTGGAGAAATTTCCTCACATAAACTATTCAGCTAACACCTTAACCTGACTACATCACACTCTGTGCAGAGGACCCTACACTTGAAAAAAAACGTAATTCTCAGTATGAATGAGAGTATGAATTGTGGTACTGAAAATGGTGTAATCCAAAGTTTTTGGAACAGAAAGTAAAAGTCTGAGATGAGGGTTTGGGAACAGCCCAAAGGAAGGAATTTGGCTCTCAAGATTGTCTCGGTGTTCCAGGCCACAGCGCAGGCTGCAAGCGCTTCAATTCCAGCTAGAGTCTGAGACGCTCGAGATTTACTCGGGATTCTAGGAGCCCCAGAACTTACCGCACATGATCCCCAAAGCTGTGCTAAATACCGCCATGTATCCAAAGTAAAATGACGTCTGAAACAAGCCGTACATCCTGAAACAAAACCAACAGTCATAGCATGTCCAGTTTTGCTTCCACGTGGGCCTTACAATGTAGCATTTTAAAGGAGCAAATTCCGTTTAATAAACGTACGATTGGAAAAGTGCCGCAACTTACTTTGTTTTGAAAAAATAGTAGTAAAAGGAGTACATGTAAACATAGATTGCAGTCGATGCAGCAGAGAGAAAGCTTGTCCACTGCCTGGGAAGGGAAACAGAGGGCTCTTAGAATGAATGCTACCGAGACAAAGGTCCAACAAAAAGTATTTGATGAAAACAGCCTTTGGAAGGCCGCACATTTACAAACAGGTGCACTGACATATACAGGTAAGGAGTGCGCATAAGGCCTGGAAGGAGAAAGGGAATTCCCCCCAACTTCCTGAGACAGGGGACCTTTTCCGTAACCACTTCCCCTTGCAGAGCGGCTCTCCTCGCACCTCTACTGGCACTCACTCTTCACCGAGGCTCCAGCGTCAAAAACAGATTTCTAACCAGAATTCCTCTTTAGTCAAAATAGAAAGAAACACACAAAAAACCTGCCTGGTTTATTTGCCTCCCAAATGGGATCATTTCTATAATTGAGGGAGGAGAATAAATCATGCCCATCTGAAGTAGCAAGACTTCTACACAGACTGTTCACTCTGCTTAAAACACGGTCTCTGCGGTGCCGACGAGCACTTACCACCGGTAGTCCTCTGCGTTGAGCAGGAAGTAGGTGCACACGATGGTCACGCATACGGTCACAATGCACAGGATGACCAGCACCAGCATCATGAAGCCATACACATAGTAGATCTTATATGCCCAGAAAGATGTGAAGATAAAGTACCTAGATAAAGTGCGACAAACACAAAGCTTACGCTGCCACTCACTGTACTCTTGTGGCATCTTCCTGCCAGCACCCTCCCCCTTGGCCCTCGCCTCCCAGTCTTTCTTCCCACCAGTCTCCCTGACCACTGCCTCCTTTATGACAGGCTCGCAAACTCTCTCGAGAACATTGCCTGAGAGAATCTTTCAGAGACAGGTCCTTCAATAGGGCTCTCGTAGGAAAAAATGCAATCTGAATACACTGAATAAATTAGAAGTTTAGAAGAATGTGGAAATGTGGAAAAGAATGCATGCATCTAAACAGCTAAGGTTCCTGTTTTGAAAAGAAATTCGATTCCTTCACTCATTTTCTCTAGACTCAACACTATCCAAGCAAAGTTCACGAGGGCTTCCAAAAAGGAGAGAGAGCTTCAAAGGAAGTTCATGAAAAAATGGAATTAAAATGGACTTTTCCCATGAAGAAGCCCCCTCATATTTCACATTCAAAAAGTACCCTATTAAATATAAAATAATTTTGATACAAGTAATAAACACATAAGATTAGGAGAGGAAACTAATATAAAAAGAAAGCCCAAGAAAAACCATACTGTGAGAAAACAGTAAGGGAAAGGGCATTAAGAAGCCTTTACATTAAGCTTGCAGCTAAAATAGCCATCTAGCAGGGAAGCAACAAAGCCCATATGGAAAAAGCACACCAGCCTGTGTGATCATGAGGTGTCAACGGGAAGAGGTATCAGAAGTTCAAAAACAAGCAATCATATCAAGGTGAAGACCCAAAACCCACCTGAAAGATAACTGGGCAGTCCCCCTCAGAGGGGCCACACAGAAGGGATGAAAAATCAAGGGTGTGGTAGAGCACTGATGACCCACATAACTATCCTTTAGTTCTTTAATATTTCCTCCCCTGACTATTACGGTTTTTACCTCATTAATCATGTTAGACTTGTAGATTTCTATGTGTGTTCATTTGTATATTTGAGATCGTTTGGCACATGAAAGTCAAGATAGATACCCAATTACAGACAGCAGCAGGAGCAGCGGGGCCCTGAGGGTATAGGCAGGGAGGGCAGGGAGGGCAGGGAGGACGGGACACTGAAAGCACGGTGACTGTATAACCCCACTCGATGGGGCCGAACAAAAGAACTGTATGTGAATGGAGAGAGTGGATTGTGTAAGATATGGCCACCCAAAAACTATTCCAGGAAAAAAAAAAGGAATAGGGTTCCTGGGGGGCAGGGTGGGGAGAGGAGGGGATAGGGGAGCTGATATCAAGGAGTTCAGGAAGACAGAAAATGTTTTGAAACGGATCGTGGTAGCAATTGTATAATACTGCTTGATGTAATTGAACTATGGAATGTTATGATATCTGTTAAGAGCTCCCAATATTTTTTTTAAAAAGAACCTTTTTCATCAAGAAAATACTCGGCACGCTAAATCCTAGCTCATCATTAAATTAGAATGTGGCCTCTTACCCTTGTTTCTCTTCTTTTTCTTATTCTCGTCTCTTTGCTTTTTTATTGACTCGTTATTCATTCTCTCTACAGATACTGACAGTGTCTCTACCCCAAGAAGAGTGCTGTCTAGTGCGGCAACACCAGGAAAGGAACCAAGGGGGTACTCTGTGATATGCGCACACTGAAAGGGCATCTTACCAGCTTGCAGGGTAATGGGACGAATCAGTAAGTCATATTTAAAACAACAACATCAAAACCCCCTCATCAATGCCAAAGAGTTGATTCTGATTCACAGCAACTCCAAAGACAGAGTAGACCTGCCCCTGTGTATTTCCAAGGCTGTAAAACTTCATAGAAGCAGAAAGCCTCATCTTTCTCCCTCAGAGGCGCTAGTGGTGTCGAACGGCTGGCCCTGCAGCCCAACATGTAGCCCACTATACCACCAGGGTTCCTTGATGAGGCATACAGGAGGCAGAAACTGGAAGAGCATTCCAGACACAAGAACAAAGGCAAAAGTTCCCAGTGAAGGGAGTTTACTATAATTTGAGAAACAAGACAATTCAGGGTGCTGGAACTTGACATGAAGGAGCGGGAGCTGAGCAATTAGCTGGGAGAGGTGAACGGGGCCCGGAGGGGAGGCCTTTATTCACCGTGTTAGGAGGTTTGGGCGTGAGCCAGATGAAAGTGAGAGGTCTTTAAGCAAAGAAGTGACCTGATCCAACAGGTACCTTAGAAAGATCACTTTACCTACCAAGAGGAGAGGGACTTGAAGGTGGAGATGCCAAGAAACAGCAAGTCAATGATACAGCTGAGGGACGGGCTAATGGAACGGAATACCTGAGACAGCAGGAAGAAACGTGACTCACAAGGGACTGGGAACGGAAGAGAGAGAAATCAGTCAGGGCTCACGTCAGAGTGAGGAAACAAAGAAAGACCAGCCTCGATTTACAGAAGATGTTCCTGAACCAGTTTTATTAAACCAGGAGCTAAAGTGACACCTGACTAATGCCCAGTGTCCACATGAGCTGGCAGATGAGCATCACGAGTTATTGCCAAACCTACTTATGTCGGTTGTACTTCTTAGTGTAATGAAATAATTTAATCAACACCACATATATCAGACAATATACAAGCCAAGGAGCTGTAGTTTAAATGAAAATTACGTTGGATATTTTAGAAAGGTTTCACCAGGTGAGTTGCTTAAAAAAAATCTAAAATTAGTTATAGGTAGGACAATTACTAAAGACTAGGGATCAAGGAACACATTCAGAAGAATTTTGCACTTTGAACACTTGAGAAAGCTCTAAGCTCTTGTTCCGCTGACAAAGACTGGAAACAGAGGACGGATTATGAGTGAGAAAGGAAAGCTGATGGCAATTCCAATCAGCAGACAGCTGTTCCAGACACGCAGACTCTGACGTGACGGTAAAAGAAAGGACTGGTGAAGGATATACATTTAGTAGCTTTAGGTTGAAGTGTTAAGAAACATGCATTCGTTAGCGTATGGGCTAACGCTTTCAACTGAGCAGCTGCAGATCTAATCGTGTCTGTCCTGAGCGCTTTCCCTGTACGAGGAGGATCAGCCGTGGAGCGTTGTCACATGGCTGGCGTTTCGTGGGCAGGAGCCCTAACTGCCTTTTCTGGAGGACTGTCTAGTGTAAATGCTCGCAGAGGAACAGCAGGACAGCGTCTGAGGGAAAACGGGCAGTGACCGCATGATGACCAAGGAGGCGGAGCCGATGCGCTCTGATAAACTGGGCACGCGGTGCCTGTCTCTCACCCCTCAAGAAAGTCCACCCTTGCCAGCACTTCTGCTGGCCACGAGGGAAGGAGAGCGGGAGTAACTACGTGTCAGAAGATGTCCTCCTTGAGACTGCCTAGTTTACCCAGTTTCCCTGACGCTCAAAAATACATTTTTTAAACGCAACAAAGGCAATTACTTCTTTTTTTTTTCTCCATTAAAAAAAAATCTTTTTATTGGGGGCTCATACAACTCTTATCACAATCCATATATACATCAATTGTGTAAAGCACATTTGTACATTCGTTGCCCTCATCATTCTCAAAACATTTGCTCTCCACTTAAGCCCCTGGCATCAGCTCATTTTTCGCCCTCCCTCCCCGCTCCCTCCTCCCAAAGGCAAGTACTTTTTAATCACGCACATGGCGGAAGGCCGGTCTACCACTCTCCAGGATGCTTGCTTTCATTTCTAAGATCTCCTGTTAGGTCTAGAATGCTATACCACCACCCCACCACCCAAAAATGAGTATTAACTTCACCTGAATATTTGATAACAGAGCAACTGAATATTGAGACTATAGATCCTACAAGTTCTTTCTGGAAACTGTGGAATTACAACTAACTCCATTAGCTGTCTTTCCATCTTATAATTCTATACCTACCCTAAATTCTCTTATTAAAATCAAACCCCTCTAAAAGGAAGTATATTACCCAAACTTACATTTCAATAAAGATTGAACCAAATGGTAAAATTCCTCCTAGGCAAACAATAACTGCAGGCTCCATGAACCTGGAAAATATGAAAATGAGTGGTAAAAATTTCTAATATGATTTTCACAGGATATAAATCCTGATAGCAGAAACAAATGCTTGATACTTAAAATTGTCCTGATGGATAAAAACAAACCAGTAAAATGAAAATTCAGAATCATTTGGTATCCATATTTTTACACAAACAACATAATCATTATACTTCCAGCATAGACTCTGTATGTGCATGTACACGTTTTTATGTGGCTGTGTTTGTTATATGGAAAATAACAGACTCCTGAGAAACCCCGTGTCGGGGAGCCTTAGGAGCACAGTCTGTCCAACACTCAGCCTGATGACAAGCCGTTCATGCGAACTCAGGATGGAGATAAAAAAGCTAAGCCTGTTCATTATGACTGGACTCAATCCTAACTCGGCTCTCAATTTTCAGGGTGGATAAAACTATAAATGTATGTCAGTATGGTTTAGAATAATAAAATACTGGAAAAGAAAATGCAATCCTAAGAGCCGCGTTGGCCGACGTTTGGGGTAAGGATTCAGATAGTAGACATTTCAGGCTCGCCGGTGATGAGTCTGCCATAACGACTCAACTTGGACACTGCCGTGCAAGAGCAGACATGGACGATATGTAAGCAAATGCTCCCCTAACAGGCAGGGGGTCAGATTTGGCCTGTGCATCATACTCATGAACTCGCAGCTTTAGTTTCCACCATCCCTGCATTCTAGTCTACTTCAATTCAGAAAGTGAAGTAACGCTATCATTTATTACAATGACTAGCAGTGCAGGTTGAAGGAAAAAATGAAAACAAATTCTAAGAATAGCCTCGGATAGTCATGCCAATTCTAGAGCTAAACAGAGTTACATGCATATACACGTAATAGCCTTAAGAACTTAAATAGGGTGAGAAAGCAGCGGGGTAAAATTCAGCGCTCTCTTTACCATTTTTTCTCCGGGATAGGACGAGGCACCGCGTTGACACGACAGGGAAAGTTGGGCTGGCCTGACAGGTTTCGGCCAAGTATTGTGCCAACAAGATTCAGAGGGAGAATAACAAAAAAGCAGATGCAACAAACAGCCACCTGTAAATTAAAGAAAAATGGTGTGATCACTCAGGAAACAATCGTATTAGCAAAAACAAAATGTATACAGATATTGTTTATGCAATTAAATCGTAGAAGAATGTGTTTAAGTTCAGTATGGGCTAAAATTGTACCATACACCCAAATAGGAAGGAGTAGGAAATGCTTTAAATTACAGCTGTTGTTGCTGTGAAGTGCTGCCGAGTCACTTCCCACTCACTGGGAGCCCACCTCTGTCCACCAGAACAAAACACTGCACAAGCCTCCTCTCAGACCATTGCTGCAGCCACTGCCAATCCATCGCCTCGAGGGTCTTCTTTGCCCTGACCCTCTACTGTAGCAAGCACGAAGTCCTTCTCCGGGGCGTGGTTCTTCCAAAATGCACGAGAAGAAGGCTCTCCATCTTTGTTCCTCACAAGCAGAAAACTCTGGCTATGCTCATTGTACATTGGTTTGTTAGTTAGCTAACTACAAATGGAACTACTGTAAATACTCAAGTATAAGCCAACCCGAGTATCAGTCAAGGCACCTAAGTTTACCACAAAACCTGCATTAAAAATGTGCTGAAAAACTCAGCTTATACCCGAGTATATACGGCCTTTCCTATCTGTTTCCTGTCCCTATTCATCCCATTCTTCCAAGCAGTCTCTGCGATAGTCCTTTTTTCTCTTCTTTCACTTTCAGTTGCCATGCTTTAAACAGATCTACCCTTGTCTTCCATCACAGTAACTGACTTATTTGACTCCACGTTGTTAAGTTCCTACTACTCACCAGGGTTTGCATTCTATCTCCTATTTACAGACTCAGCGGGTAAGCAACTTCCCATGATCATACAGCTAATAGTAGCAAGACGGAAAATTCAACTCAGATCTGCTAGCCTCACGAGCCAGGCTTCTCTTATTCATCTAGTCTACACGGCATTGGGGCCTCATAATCGAAGCCTACCTCTAGCTATGCACACATGGGCCATTACTGAAATCAACAAGTACTTTTCTGCCCCTTCGTAGTTCGAAGTTTAGAGTCAGCCTGGAACATATTTAGATTGGGAATTTTTCCCCTTTATGAAAACCTGTGTAACTGAAGATACCCACTCAAGTTCTTCCTCAGCCAGCATCTGACGATGCCCACGTCACTCTACCACATAACAAAGCAGGGCTGAAGACCCAATTCGGATTGCTTTCAAATCACACATTTTGTGGTCCTAATAAATGGAAAGCGAAAGTGACAGAAGAGCAGAATAAAACTGTGAAGAATTGATGGAGAGAACTGAGAGGCTGGTGCAGAAAATCCACAGGATTGTGTGAGGAGAGAAGAATCGATGTGGGAGCCACGCGGAGTGAAAACGCTCCATCTTCATTACTTCCCTTTGTGTTCTTCCCACAGCCTTTGCAAAGGTGTCATCGGCCTCCTTTCAGATAAAACTTGCAGAAATGTGAGCGGTAACAGAGCTCTGTAAACCCATCATAAAGACTTGGCTTAGGACTTAATTTATTGCTGTCTCAATTCGTAAGTATTAATAATAAAAATGTATACTCGTCTATTATAGCAAGGATAATATTCAGGTAAAAAACAAATCAAGCAGATGGCTTTTAGACATTTTAAACCTGGTTGTGAATTATACCTCTGTCTCATACGTATTTTGAGGGTGAATTCTGTCTCTCAGTGTTTATCACTAACTGCTTTCATAATTACTGATCACTGCCATTGTCATGGAAGTACAATGCACTGCAAAAGAGAACTACACCTTTTCTCCTTCAAGCAGGTATGCATAGGAACTGAAGAGAAATGAAACGGCCCTATGTGGGATGACACCGTCTACGCTGGGGAATTTTAAACCGTCCCCCAGGCATGTGGGTCCATCCAGTAGAAGAGCTTCCACTATTCACAAGCACTTTTTAAAATATAGAAATCATTTTATTGGGGACTCTTACAGCTCTTATAACAAGTCATACATGGTATCAAGCACATTTGTACATATGTTGCCATCAAAATTTTCAAAACATTTTCTTTCTACTTAAGCCCTTGGTATCAGCTCCTCTTTTTTCATACCCCCCCCCCCATGCTTGTGACCCCTTGACAAATTATAAATTATTATCTTCACATCTTATACCATCCGCAGTCTACCTTCACCCACGTTTCTACATTTCTGTTGTTTGTCCCCCCGAGGTGTGGGGGTGCTTATACGTCGATCATTGTGATCAGTTCCTCCTTTCTCCCCACTTTCCCCTTACTCCCATTATTGCTCCTGAGGGGGTTATCTGTCCTGAATTCCGTGTGTCGAGGGCGCTTATCTGTACCAGTGTACATGCTCCCGTCTAGCTGGATTTATAAGGTAGAACTGGGGTCATGATAGTGGGGGGAGGACGCCTTAAAGAACTAGAGGAATGTTGTATGTTTCATTGATGCTATACTGTACCACGACTGGCTCGTCTCTTCCTTATGACCTTTCTGTGAGGGGATGGCCCATGGTCTACAGATGGGCTTTGGGTCTCCACTCGGAGCCTCCTCCTTTGCATCAATATGATTGTTTTGGGTCCTCTGATGCCTGATACCTGATTCCATCGATCACCTGGTGTGCTAGTTCATAAGCGTTTGATTTCAATATTCTTTTGAAAGCAGTTTAGAAATATTTTAAACTGTAAATAAAATAAAACCAAACACTCAAGGGAATTCTAAGCCAGACATTAATACTGATTTCCCTGTAAATCTCAGAACAGCGTTTCTCCTGCTGTCGCTGTGTATGTATTTGGAGCTCAAGTCCAGGCGTCACTGATTAGGAAGGGTCATAATGCAACACTTGTCTTTTGCTCCCGCCTCCCCACTTCTCCACCAGGAGTCAGTTCTACAAGGAAATGCACGCCACAGCCCATGGGTGTCACAGGCAACTGAGTAAAGCTGGGACACGCCGTGTGTGCTCATTCCAAGCTTGACAACAGTAAACAAACCTATAAGCGGCCTCATCAAGATAATAGCAAACGGTTCAGCATTTTTTAAAAAATTTCATCTGATCTTTTAAGTGTGTAATTTTTTAAATGTACGTAGTTTGTTAGAAACTGTGATTAAATTGTGAAACCAATCTCTGAACTCCTTTATGGTCGAGTTCTGGAAGCATTTAAAGACTACCCTTATAATGCAAGACAAGCTGTTCAAAATAGAAAGAAAAGTCACATGGAATTAACTCAACCGGGTCGTTGGGAATTTGCCATCTGAGATTCAATCCAATAAATTGGTGGTTGCTGAGGAAAATAATGACTGAATTGTTACTCATACCCCTTGATATTAGATTAGAATTTATCACAATTTTACTGGATCATTATAAATAGGGTTAAAATTTTGAATTTGCAAAATATACTTTTTTCACTAAGAGAATCATGCGTCTGTTTCCAATATTGGTGTTCTACGTTAAAGTTGCAGTGTACGGTGAAATAAACCAGCTAAGAGTTTAAAAACACAAAAACACTAATACACTACACTGGCAAAAAACACTGTAACTATTAGCAGTAAAAGCCCTTTCCCAGCCTCCTAGCTCCTGACCAGGGACCATAAGAGCGTGAGAGCAGGTGGTGGGAAGAAGAAAGACCTACACTGAGCCAAGGGCTTCCCCGTTGGCCCCAAGAAAGGCAAATGAGAAGCAACCGATAGGTACACTTCACACTCCAAGGACACTACTACACGAGTGACGTCTCTTTTCAATCTCGTTACGAGCCAAGAATGTGGCCACTGCTTGTTCCATCTCTGCCTTCCAGCCTGGCCTTGTAGGACATCTGTACAGGCGAGGCTGGACCATACTGGCATGGGACAGAGATTATTTTAAGGTAATAGTAATTGCTTATAGGTAGCTTCGCTTGCCAGTCATTATGTTTAAGCATTTCTCTCACATCTCTCAGAGTAGGTGATTCCCACCATCCCTTTTCTAGCGCAGGGCTGGCCCAGGGCCGGGCATGTTTCATTCTGCTGAGCACAGGGTTGCTGGGACTCAGAACCGATCAGTGCACCTCACAACAACAACAACAAATGTCTATGGAAAAATTATTCCTCCTCAACACAAGCATTCCAACAATTGAACCTACTAAGTAGGACCATTCCATTTCAAACACAAATGCTCTTAAGGAGTTTTATCCACGTATTTTCACCTTGCGAATACACAGTGCCCTATTTCATTTTTGGGGTCACTTCAGTACGACAGTGGATGAAACACTGAATATAAAGTTGAAAACTTTCTATAAAGCCTAACTGATACCAAAATCAGAAGAAGAAAAAAAGACCTTATAAGAACATTACAGACCAGCATCTCTCATGAATAAAGATGCAAAACAAACAAAATACAATCAATCCAATTCACCATACTGTCAAACTAAGAAAGTAAAATCATAGATCATCTCAGCAGATGCAAGGAGGAAAGGGGCCCCAGATGCCAGATCCAACACTGATTCATACTGAAAGCGTCCAGCCAATAAGAACAAAGAAGTCCCCCATCTGATAAAAGACAGCTCCAACAAGCTTACAGCTAACCTTCCGCCGGGTCACCTTTCACTGGCACGGGCACACATACGGATCTCTCATTACCCAGTCAATGGCTGGGTAACCTTTGCCTTCCACATTTCTTGGCAGAGAGGAATGAGTGTTCACAACACTGCATCAGTTTGTTCAACTGGAGTCTTGCTTTTCACGCTGCAGTGAAGCTAGAACGTCTGTCTTCCATATTACTGGTTCCTTTTGGTTGTTTTTTTAGTTAAAGGACATTTTGTAATTGACTAACAGATTAAAAACTGTAACACCCAGGCAGTGCAAAATGCACCATTGACCCCAATTACAAAGAATTAGTGTTAATACACAAGGGTTAAGCAATGCTATACTTATTTTGGCAAAGGGCTGTATTGTTCAGTCTACGTATAGAACTGACCATCTATAAACCAATCAGTATTAAAAAATGCCTATGAAACTGGTGAACTGCTGAAGCTCTTCAGCTGGATGGCCCTACATGTCTGGGGGACAGTTTGAACCCATCGTAGTAGACTCTGTGATTCCACATGGCTATTTCCTTTTCTTAAATTCATATTGAAAACCAGAGTTCTGCTAAATGAAGTAGAAAATGTGTCTCTGTTCCAATGCATTACACTAAAATGCTTAATGACAGCAAATCGGTAATTAAGAAAGCGGTGAGTGATACCACTGAAACGCAGACCTCACCCTGAAGTACAATTCAAACCAAAACAAGATTAAAATTCCGGAAGTGATGTAAGGTCTGGATGCAGCACTGCCATTAACTAACGGAATGGTGGGACCGGTTCTTTTGCTTCTCTGAGAAGCAGTAAGCACTCTGCACCTCGCAGCCATGGATACGTCCAAATGAGTGCATGTGAGCACAAGTGAACCTTAAGACGACAATCTACACAGGCTCTCAACCTCTGTGGCTAGCGTAGAATAAGTAATTTGGAGACAGTGAGTAAGGCACCAACACAACAGTTTAAACTGCACTGACAGTTAAGAGATCTGAATGTGGTAACATAAACCAACCCTGCCACGGAGCTGATACGGCTCCCAGCTACCCCACAGAGTTTTTCTGAGGCTGCAGATCTGTACAGGAGCAGACAGCTTCGTCAGCAGCTCCTGTGCAGCAGCTGGTGGGTTTAACCACCAACCTGGTAGTTGGCAGTTCAATGTTTCGGGGGCAGCGCCAGTAGGGCTCCTTATAGTACCGATGTTAATATAAACGCTTAGTGAAGTTCTAAATATAGCATTTTGTTACTGGAAACAGCTTTCCCACCAGTGTGCCCAGCTTTGCCCTGAATCACACACATTTCTTGACCTGTCGTTTTTCTTTCTCTGAAATATACTTACCAGCTTCTCTCCTAAGGAAAAAGCTACAGTGCACTTAGGTCAGACTTAAAGGCTGCCTGTACCGGCGCAGAGAATCAAAGGCCAAAGAGCAACCGTGAAGCTTCAGTTTAACCAAAATTACACGAAGGAGAACACGGTTTTTTCCTCATCAACTTCCCAGGGCTGAGTGGGGACAGGCTGGACGCTCCAATCCCAGAGGCAATGCCAGGACTTTTACTAGAGAGCTCACACTTTTTAGCTTTAGAGTGAAATCCAAGAAACTTACCATTGTTCCAAAAGGAATGGCTCTTGAGGCATGGTAGTAAATGGCTATAAAATTGATGAAGAAGGCAGTCCCACACACCATAGCTGGAATTAGGAATGCCCCAATAAACATCTGCTTTATCCATCTCCTTCCTGAAAGAAGGGAAACTATGAAAATCAAAAGGACAGACCTCCCCACTGAACTGCTGTGGAGTCGATTCCAACTCCGAGTGAACCTATGCAGGTTTTCCTGAGGCTGCGGACCTTTCTAGGCACAGATGGCCTCATTTTTCTTCATCAAAAGGGGAGAAATGCAAAACAGATATATACATTCTCACGAGCTCGAGATTTTCTGGAGTCATGGAGGGTAGATGAACCCCTAAAAGTATTGCCCAGGATAATTTGTAAGCCTTATATGAGAAATATCCCTTGAAGTCTTTTAAAAACCACACACCAGTTTAACTACAGAAAAGGTTTATCATGAACATAATGCTCTTTTTAAAGAATTATCTGGTCAAATTGATAACAGAAAATTGAAAGATTAGAGCGGAGCTTTGGGGCAATGGGTTTATGCTAATGAGGGAAGAAAAACCCTGAAAAGGAGAGGAAATGTTATCAACACAGCTGTTGTTTGACATATGCTTTTCTGTACATATTCTCAACAACAAAGTCAGTGCAATCTAAATGAGAAGTGTTTCAAAACAGCAGAGTAAAACCTGCGAATGCTAGTGAGTCAATCCACCTTTCTGGACTCCAAATTGGCCTAGCTCACGGGCTTTCAAACCCCAGCCTGGAGCTCTGGGGCCCTTGGAGGCGTCTCTGAAGCACGGGTACGAGCCCAGCCCCACACCTGTTTCAGCCAGGGCAATCCCACTCTCAACTGCTTACACATCAGTTCCATGACAGCTTGCACGAAAAAACTGAAAAAGGAAGTATTATATTGCTTTTTTTTAAAAGCTTAAAATCTCTGAGTTAGATGGTCACAGAATTCATTCTTAATATTGCCAAAACTCTGTAAGGTGAGGATCTATTACTTAATAATCAAGAGAAAAATATTTTAACTTTATAATAAAGAGTTTAAATATTATACATATCAACCTGCAGCGTAACCAAACCAAACTCTGCCACTGAGCTGAGCTCAACTCGTACCCACCCCGATCAGGCTTCCAGGGCTGGGCTATAAACCTTTAAAGGAGAAGACAGCCTCCGCTTCTCTCAAGGAGCATCTGAACCACCAACCTTGAAGTGTGTAAGGGTTTGACACCGAATCAAACAGAAGCAATAATAAGAGATCCCAACAGAAAATCTCAGGAAAAACAAGAGTCCCTTAACTTACATTTTCTTCCACAGAAAGTTCTTTATCTCACAGAATTCTACCCCAATCCCCCAGAATGAACTCTCCTCTATTTCATTTCCTTTACGGGTCGAGTTTTAAGAACCTCTTCTTGCCAACAATCTGCTAGCATTGAACAGCTCTGAAGGGTTGGCAACATTCTCATTAGTGCAGGTGCATATCCCCCGTCACGGAGAGATCCTGGGTCTGACTGCCCAAGGGCAGGCAGATGCCCTTTTGCGCTCTGGTGGCATACTGGGCGGCACGTCCGGCTGCGAAGCTCAAGGTCAGCCATGTGCAGCCACCAGTGACTCTGAGGAAGAGAGAGGCGTTCTGCTCCCTAAAGAGCTGCGCCTCAGAAAGACACGGAGCACGTTCTAGCCTGTCCCAAGAACCACGGTGAATCAACCTGAGGGCACCAAGTGTGGGGTTTTTTTGCTTTGTCTTAAAGGATAGACAATTAACTAAATTATTATTTCTATCTATTCTTAATCGATTCTAAGTATTCTCTTTTCTGGAACTTTCCATTATCTTCTCAGACTCAATTTATAAAACTCAACACCCAATACTCTTTATAACTCCTTTTACCTCTAACAGTCAAAAAGCGCCCTATGCACATTCCATAGGGCACAGCCAGTAGCCCCGGCACCTGCAGGCTCCAGATCCCCATCTCTCCCCATACCCAGGAGGCGCTGATCCAAGCTACCCTTGGGTTCAAAATAGGGGTGGGGCATTATCTAGTGCACCGAGGCCAATGAGTTTTAGTATAATTCAATCCTCAACTTTGAAAAATTCTTAATTCTATACTTTGGGCACAATATTAACCTGGCTATTTAGGAATTCCAGATAAAACAGGGGCACATTACCAGATGTCACCAGGGCTCTCACTCACTGCCACGGAGTCCATTCTGACCTGCAAAGACCCTCTGGACCAGCGGTCAGTTCTCAACCTGGGTGTCCCTTCCCCTCTGGGGGTCGAACGACCCTTTCACAAGGGTCACCCGATTCATAACAGTAACAAACTGACAGCTATGAAGTAGCAACGAAAATAATTTTATGGTTGGCGGATTACAACATGAGGAACTGTATCAGAGGGTCGCGGCATTAGGAAGGTTGAGAAACACTGCTCTAGACAGGGTAGAACTGCCCCTCGGGGTTCCCGAGTCTGTGACAATGGGAGCAGAAGGTCTCATCTTTCTCTTGGGGAGCGGCTGCTGGCTCAAGTGGCTGGCCTTGTGGTTAGCAACCCCCATGCAAGCCGCTACGCCACCAGCACTCCTTCACTGGCCCAAGACTCCTGGGCACCGCCACTGGGAGTGCTCGTCATCCATGTCTCCCATCACTTCTAGGTCACAGTAGAAAAGGAACAAGGGGGTATCTAAGATGCAGCACTCAGAGAAAGAGATTGTAACACAGAGTGACAGAAATTAGGAGCCCAGAGTTGGGCTGCTAATCACAATGTCAGCAGTTTGAAGCCACCCAGTGCTCAGGGGGAGAAAAACAAGGTAGCTTACTCCCATGAAAATTCAGAGCCAGAAACCAGAAGCAGCAGCTCTCCTCTGTGCGATACGGTCGGCGGTTAGGGGTTGGAATCCACTCGACGGCAGTGAGCTTGCTCTGCGGTTTGGTTCATTAAACATGCCTTTAAATTCAGGATCATTGCCCACGTGGAGCTTATCTCCAGATGTAGGTAGCCCAGGCAAAATAAATCAGTAACTTAAAATGTACTTTCTTACATGTTCCTTAGGGCTAACTTCACAATAGATAGTGGAGATAATCATAAAAAATTCAAGGGTTCCGTAAGAACAAGATAGAACACGGAATACATAGATTTGGTTGTAATACAAAAATGGGCTAACAAGGAATTTTATCATCGTTGTACTGTCCCCTATAGATTGCAACCATTTTAGTGTAAAATGTTAGCATCTATAATTACACACACAAACTGATAACTCATAAATTACCTCCTTGTCTAGCATAAAGACTTCCTCCAAAATAGCCATTCACTGGAGATGTAGCAGCATAAACAAATATGGCTGTACTGAGCATGGATCCCCTCCTGAAAGGCAAAACACCACACAGCAGTAATTAAAACCAGCAGACCAAAGAACAAATCATGTATTCAACTGCATTAGCAATAACTTAATTCCAAAGATAAATTTAACAGAAAGACAAAATTATTATCTCCCAGACCACAAAGGATCTAAAAAGATTGCCTACTGATTATCTTCCAGTCAAAACCCCACTTGAATGAAACCATGCAGAGTCTAATTTTTTTTTTAATCTGAAGTTAAATTTCCTAATCTAGTCTATGCCAGTATTTTAATTTTTAAAAATTTATTTCATATTTTTTGGGCAAAAGTCTTAGAAGCTGACACTAAGCCTGGTTTGCCACCCTCCCCACAAGCCAATCACATCATATGGTACAGGACAGTCAACTGTTAAGAAAAATAACGGGATTATTCCACTTCAAAACTTGATTCCCCTGCTCTAGACTCTTGTCTGTTGACAGGAATAAAATGGAATTACTGTCATTTACATTCATTACCATTATTTCAAATGTTAGGACACTGAGATTTCCCCTACTAAGTTTCCCTTATACTGTTAAAAAGAATGACAAGGCAACATTGACACAGATCGGCAATTCCGAATGCCTCCTTCTAGTAATTCAGATCAACCCTCCTTCCGCCTGTTGAATAAAACAGACACAATCCCCTCAAAGAAACAAACCAAAAAACCCTACTACAAAAAGAAAGACTGATTTACTGATACAGAACATGCACAGCCCACTACGCATGAAGGCTTTGTGCAACTCACCGCAAGTAGGAAGGTAAAATACAGTCTGTAGATGGGCTATGTAAGGGTAAGTCCAAAAGCATAGCTAAAAATTATACCAACCTTTATTAAGCAAATCATACACTGTTGTTTCTCAGCATACTTTCCACCTCGTCTATCTAGTCGCACAACCTTCTGAAAGTGGTGTTCCACCCCTCAAACCCTTCCCTAAAGAATTCTCCTCTCTTCAATTTACACCACGTCAAAACAGACATCCTCAAGGGACTCAGATCATGTTTCTTTTAAATGTTCTTTGCGTTTGGAGAACAAAAGAAGTCTGAAGAGGCAAGACCAGGGCTACAGGGTGGATGGGGGTTAGGTTTCCCAGTGAAATGCCCGTAAGACAGCTCTTGCAGTCCTCAAAGAAAGAGCAGGTATAGTGTTCTGATGGGGAATAAAAAGTCCTGAGTACTACTCTTCTCACTGATGGGCTGCCGCTTTCGGGTTTTGTAAAACTTCTTGGTGAGCCTCCATGGTCATCCACGATCGCCCCTTCAAAGTCCTCCCCTAAATTAGTCACACAACCTTCTGAGCTGACCAATCTGCCTTCAATTATTTATTTATGATATAAAACAGTTTGCTTTAGTTGGGTTTTGCATCTTATTTAATAAAACATGAAAATTCTGGTTCTGTTTGGGTCTTCTGAGAAACCTGTGTGCTGGCGTCCATTCCCTGAATAGATACAGTGTTGCTACAGCCATGTGCAGCCCCTTTTGGTAGCTAAAGCTGCTGGGTTTTACCTTTTAGCTGATACGTGCACTTACTTCCTTCGAATGAGATGACTGAGAACGAAAACGGGCTCACTTAGATCCTGTCCATTCAAGTCATAACTACCAGCAAACGCCCAAGTCTCCAAGACGTATTCAGAGTGCTGCCGATGTGTATTTCTTAACCCTCTGGGGTTTGGGTAGATCGTTAAAACAATCTCTATTGAGTCAGTCTTGTGATTGAACAGGCTTTTCCAGGGCCAGGAAAAGCCACTGTTTCGATTTTTTTTTTTTTTTGAGGCACCCTAAACGGGCCTAAACCAAGTGTATTACTGAGAAAACTGGTCTGGAATTGCCCCGGGATTGCAGACACAGGTTTAAACACACCTGGTTTGGAATAAACCCATGCATGTGTGAACTGGAAACCCAGCAGCAGTACTTTTTGACTTATCCTCATACAACCCGTCAGTTTGAACTTAAGAACACCCTGTTAGAGAAACTGTATTTAAAATTCAGCACTACTATGTGCACAAGTAGGCCAGACTATGTTAAAAAATGAACAATCTTCTGGCTAATGATTATTAAAGTCCACTCTTGTGGGATGTAGCCCTCCTCTGTCCAAACACCTACACTCGCTTTCTTCAAGTGGATTTATAATTGTAAAAAAAAAAAGAAGCAATATTTCACTCCCATTACTATACAAGGAAGCACAAATGTGGTAGTTATATTAGAATTTGTCATTCCCACATTTTAAAAAGACTGCAGGTATCCAAGTTAATCATATTTACAAAACCAACATTGTTTTTTTTTTAAGAACCCAATTAAACACCGCAAACAGGAATTTATTCTTCTAGACTATCACTAACTAACAAATTGGACCCATATCTGTTTCTAAGTGTGTGGGTGAAGGCTGGCAGAGTCTGAAGCATGCTGAAAACAGAGAGGCTACTTTCAGTAAGGCCATGAGGCCAGTCACACGCTATTCAGAAGTTCCTCAATACTCGCAAATAGGGTTTGAAGGGGCTGCTCTTGAGACTAAGAATCTGAATTGAGAATCTGAATTGACTCCGTTTGCCATCCCAGAGACACTGCCATTCAACGGAAGAGTGAAACTATCAAAACTTTAAATGTCAGGCATGCCCTTCACTTCTTGGTTCATAGATATCCTATGAGAATTGGTTCCCCCAAATAGACCACTTGCATCTACCCTGAAAAATCTGCTGAGGCCGGGGGCTGTCCACCAGACTGGGGAGAGGAGCACCTGAGAGCTACTTCCCCTCCACTTGCCCTCTCCCCCTTCCACGGGAAGTTTCAGAGCTATTAGAATAAGACTCCAGCTTAATGCCAACCCTCTCCACCTGATAGCTGCAATGTGTTGTTGGGTTTTTTCTTCACTGATTGCTATGGTGATCATGGGAGGCAAAGAAAAAAGAAACCGCAGCTAGATTATCTGCTCTTTATCCTTTGGAATCATTCTTTCTCTGGAGTGAGTCAACCCAATTTTATGTGCAAATGCTTTCATTTCCTTACCACTCTGCATAAAGATATCTTTAGTATTTTTATTTTCGTTCCCATAGCACAACAAAGCCAGCGAGGCGTTCGGGAGTGAGTGGCTAGGTTCACGTCTCAGTTCTACCCCTTACTAAGCTGTGTGGTCTCAATCCAGCCACTTAACATCTGATCGTGACTCTCCTCATCTACACAGGTTGATACGAGGATTCAACCAGCAGAACGCGCAAGTAAGAAACCCTTACTTGGGACCTTAATAAAGCTAGCCATGTTTGTACTATAATGATAATATAGACTAAATTAGTCCCTAATCAAATAGGTAACTGACTTCAAGAAAGCACAGCACAGAACAACAATCTATAGTACTGACAGACTAAAATGAAACAATGCATGACTCTTCCTGTGAATTCCACCTATTAGAGAACCGAGTTTTTTAACCGAGTTTATAAACTGAACACTTGTTAAGTAGAGGCGCTTCTGCATTTAAAAAAGAGCTGCCTACACTGTGACACTAGCATGTTGGGATGGAACAAGGCAAAACGTGGATTCGAGGAGCGGTTACACTCTCCTAAGCCTCTGACAGTACTGTCAGTGATTTTGGTCGGGGTGAATTTAAGCCACTATTTAATGTAAAACACTATTTCTTGGCAGACTTGAAAGGTTTTTCTTATATTGCGGATCTAGTTAATCCTAAATATACCTTACAAGAAATTATTCACCAGAACTGTGATGGTTATCAATTTGGACTGGCATTTTAATACTTGGGCGGTATACACAGTGATAATGATTATATGTGAAAAACAAATGAACAGAATACACACGACAGAGAACTAGCTTTGTCCTCCGATATATACTCCGTGTGGTCCACCAAGCGCTGGTCGAGTATCTTTCCTGTGCAAAACTTAGCGAATTCTAAATACATAAAACATAGTCTGTGCTCTCAAGGAATCAATTGTCTAGTGGTGGAAGGCAATTTTGTGGACAGCTGGTTATTTAATATAAAATTAAAGAGGCATTTTTTCCAACAAGAGTTTACTGTTTATCTACCAAATGCCGTGCATATTTAGGGAAGAATGCACTATGAACTAAAATGACTGGAAGAAAAGCGTGTCTTTTGAATTGAGGATTCATGAGGTGGCATCTACAGTGCCGGTGTCACCTGGGTTCAATGTCTCTGCTCTCCCAGAGGTCACAGCTCTGTGCCTAGAAGGACCACTCAGCTGGGTGGGGCCTTAAAAAATGCATTACGTTTTCTTATCATCACAGACACTTCACATGAAGGATTTCTGGAAAATGAGTTTGCCTGCAAAGGAAAAACAAAATGCACCCCGAAACCACGTAGAGAAGTTCATTAGCTCAGGATGTTTCCCCGTAATCATCCAGTTAATTTTCGAACTTCCTGTGACTTTCTGCCACTTTCACTTTTAAAAAACGATGTCTTGGATTTTTTGTTTTCCTTCGACTCTGGACAGTCTCCTACTTTGGGAGGTTAATGTGAAGTACTGGTTCAGGAACTGTTCAACCCTTGTACTTCGTATGGACACCTAATTCAACTTGAAGCTTTCCAAAACAAACAAAGCAGTGCCCATTCACTGTTGAATAGCTCCGGAATGCGGGTAACCTCTGCCATTCCTCAAATGGAATGCAACCTTCCTAATCAACCCAAACCACCAGTAACCTGTAGCATATAACAGATCAACATAATTATAGCCAAGAATTATTGTCCATTATTTATGAGACGTAATGATATCCATGCTATTTAAATTCTAAGGTAATTGAAATCAACACAAACTTAATTATGATTGAAGAGCAAAGGTCTTCAAAAATAAGCAAAGGAAAAAAGTAATAAATTTAAAACAAGCACTTACTCTGTGTACAAATCTTCTATCATTGCAACAATAATAACAATGAGAGACACCGCAAAAATCTGGCACCCAGAACCAATGAGAGAGGAAAAGATCAGCGGGTGACTTGATGGTCTAAATACATCGCCATGCACCTGCTTCCATCCATACTCATCTCCCAGGTCTCTATCCTACAGAGGCAGGCAACAAAGAAGACAATCAGTCAGAACCAAATTCAGAATAAAATGTAGACAGCCGAAAAATTACAACAACAATTATAAGTTCCCTCCCCTTGATTTTTTCCTGTATTTCAATTAACAAGAAACATTTCAAATTTAAAATATGCATCGTGATATTTACTAAGGATCGGGAAGGTGGCTCCTGGTTTACAGTGCCTAAGAATTTCAGAGACCGGAAAGAAAACAGGGCCGAGAGCAAGAAGAAATAGAGCGGGAGAATTTTCTCTTAAAAAAAAAATTTTTGAGGGGTGGGGGCTTCCTAACCCCACTTTCAGGCATCACTGCTTCTCACCACTTACATCATGATTGTAACTCCTCTGACCAGAAAAGTAGTGATACCAGTACTAGATGCCTTTCATAATGCAGAAATACCCTATCTCAGAATCTAAGAAACATGGGGGAAATAATCCAAATTGAATGTTTACATTTAACTGTTGATGGCGTTTGAAAAAAGGACTCAATATTTACTTCGCACCCTAGCTAAGTATCACCAACACTGTCCCTTCAGGGCTCTCTTTCAGGGAGACTCCTGCTCCGCTATGTTGCGAAACACCACATGTTTTACCCATCGTTCTGATGCTTTACAATCCACATTGGTATGTCAAGATTGGTCCATTCTGTTTCCCAACAGAATGACAATTTTTAAAAATATAAATAGAATGTAAATAATTGCTCACCATGTCATCCATTTCTTCTTCTTTACTGTACCGGGCATAATCTTTTCGTAACGTTCTCATTAAAATCATTGAAACTAAGCCCACCAAGAAGATCACCATCATGAAGGAGTTGAAAATTGAAAACCAATGAATCTAAAATAACAAATAATAAAATGTTAGCAAGCTAAAGCAAGAGTCACAAAATTAAGCGGATTTAGGATGGCAACTGCAAGGCTAATGTACAAGAAAGTCTTTTATGATGTTTTACTAAAAAAATCCAAACCAAAAGACTAACAGGGTGAACAGTCCCCAGGCAGAGGGGCTGCCTTACTCTACAGTAAGCTTCGGATTCACTGAGAACAGAATCGCGTTTACTACATATATTCTCAAAACACAGGTTGGCCCTGAGGCATATACGACTCAGCGTGAGCTTTGGAGCCAGGGAGGCCTGGGTTTTACTTCGGCTCTGCTACCTGATCTCAACTTGCAGCTATCGGGTCTCAGTGTTCTCCCTGGAAAATGGAGGAACTACTTACTCCATTGTTTGTGAGGTCAAATGCACACAAAGCATGGCATGGTGCCTGGCACAGAGCAGCAGACAATCCACAACAACCTGTACACCTCTTTCAAATATCAGGGCCATCCTATCATAGCGGGCTGCTGCCATGGACAGACCTACGCCACCTCCCTGAATGACTTGCTGCACGTGCTTTCAGCGCCTCCTTTCCATCATCCTGCCACCATCACTATTCACTCCTTTCCGTATTAGCTACTCGTGGTCCATGTGACTCCCAGGGCCCTCCCCAGCTCTGCAGTGCTTCTGAAGCTCCAGCTCTCACTTGTCCACACACCAGCTGTAAAAGTATGTCGATTCTAGTTCATAATCACAACGTAATATTGAATCTCCCAAGTCTTGAACTCAGTGCATCTTCCTGACTTGAACTAGGTCTGTGACACTGCCCACTAATGTCTTTGTTCATTTTTCATTCCCAAAAGCTCCTTAAAGATAACTCCAAAATGCCCCCTCCAGACGTGGTGCTCCACCTTCCTCACGCTGCGACCCTTTAATACAGCTCCTCATGTTGGGATAACCCCCCAGCCAAAAAATTATCTTCGTTGCTTCTTCATCACTGTCAGTTTACTACTGCTATGAATTGGGCGATACCTGTGAAAGGGGGCGTGACCCACAGGTTGAAAACCACTGGTCTAGAGGCTCTTCAAGATCTGGGTCCTATCCTTTCACTCGCCTGCACTTGCAGATGATCCTGTCTGTCTGCTCCTAGCCAGCCACACCTTTCCCATTTCTCCCATCAGCCTCTCTCGTCCTGGTAAACAAGTGGCTTCCCCTTTGAAATCAATCTTTCTATTTCTCATTAAATCCTCAAGTTACTTCTTTTCCTCTCGTTCTTATACCCCCAAATCTCTACCTTTCTCAGCATCAGGAACTTCCAAAGGTCCTATCTATAATGGTCCTACTTCCTGGGGTTGTTTTGAAGATAAAGGAAGTGCATATACAGCACAGTACCTGGTACATCATAAACTCTAAATAAAATTTAGAAGTTACTGCCATCATTACCACTATCTTTTAAAGTTGGTGTTTCATCTACTGACGCTTCATTTTCCCCATCTTCTCCCCTCCCCTCTTTCAGTCCCAATACTTTTCATATCAAGGGAGAACTCATATTCCACCTGTCCCCTCTCACTTACATCTAAGTTCAGTGCAGTATCACTCTTGCCCCATGTAATTTCTCTCAGAAGCCTGCCATGAACTCCTAAACTAATTCAGTACTCTGCGACATTTGACTGCCCCTCCCGACAGGACATCATTGGCTTTACTGGCTGGGCTGCATCTCTTTCGTCATCTTCCACCTCTGCTCTCCCCACCCCCTCACGGGCTTTTCCAAAAGCTTCAGTCTTGGTAAGCTGCTGTGATTTCTTTTAGTTCTTTGAACTTTTAACCAGCATTCCAATGATGGTATGAGGTGCCTCCACCCCCACCCTCTTTTTCTCTCATGTTTCAGACTTTTGCTTACTATAATTTCCACTCAAATGTCTTTCTGGAATTTCAAACTCTGCCTGCCCTACCGTAAATCCTATCTTCCCTGCCATGTACAACACACACTCCTAATTCTCTTATTTCTTCTAAAGATACTTACATTCGGCTTTAATTAGCATTTTCTCTGGTGATTCCTGCTCTTTAATCTTTTATAGGTAATAATTACTAAGCCTTTATTTTTCTTCAAAACATCTCTTGTACCTCTCTCTGCCTCTCTTTCTGTTCCCATGCTGACACCGCACACCTAGAAGGCACTGATGGCCTCTCGCCCTTTCCTGCCGCTCTAGCCGTAATGTTCTCAAACAAACATTGCTGAAGCAGCATGCTCAATCAGGACCTAATACTTGCCGTGAAAACTCACTGGTCCTCTTACATCAAATCTGCTCTCTCCACTCGCCTGGATCCCCGAAATCTACCACCTCATCCTACTTGCCAGCATTTTTTCTAGTGTCTCCTACATTCCAATCGTGCCTATCGCCCTTGGTTATTTACTCTACCTCTGTCCCTTTGTCCTAGCTGCTTCTTTAAAAGCTCTACTCTGGCTCACTTCTGTAAATTCTACCCACTTTTTAAAACAGCCTCTCTTCTAGCAAACCCCTCGTCTACAATTCCAAGTCTTAAATGTCCCTCTGCTCAACATAAGGCTATGCTGCCCTGTTCGGCTTGGACAAATTTTAACATGGGCTCATGTGCTGTGTCTATGCACTAAAGTGGAGCGCAGTCCCAGATCTGTCGAGCAAGGGGCAAACACTACATAGCTCTTACTAAAAACCAGGAGACAGCCACCTGCCTCTGCCTCTTTATACGATCGTTCCTTCCTTCACCTAACAATTTTTTAATTGAGCATTTACTGAAATTATAAAGGAAACAGAGAATGTATTAAATTTTGAAGTTTTTGCAAATACATTATAGAAATTTAAGGCGATCCTAAAAGTATCAGTCAAGATTTATAAAAGCAGTATATACAAGTAAGCTTTCTCAAGGATTAGATTTTGCACCTGCCCTTGAAAATTAATAACCCAGAAAAGGTCACTGGAGAAAAAAAAGAAAAAAAGAACTATGACTAATATGTTCCTATCTTTTAAGGAACCGTGGTGGCATGTGGGATAAATAGGTAGTAATTGCAAGTTTCATGATTTAAACCCACCAGCAGCTCTGCAGAAGCAAAATTAAGCTGTTCATGCCCATAAAGATTTACAATCTTGAAAATCCCACAGAGGGATTTCCTATATATGAACTGGAATCAGTTAGTTAGCAGTGGGTTCATATCTTCGTTTAGTCCTTTATCAAATTTTTAGAGAGAACGCACATTTAATACAGTATTAATTAGGAAGGAGAAAGGCAGTCCTAAAATGCTCAAAGTTATATGATTTTTTTTTCTAATTAAAGACAAACAACTATCCAAAATTTAAACTTTAAATCAATAGTATCATGGTGAACTACTAATAATTTGGTATTTTACAATATTCACTTATTCAAAAATGCTACATGATTTTGAAATACCAGGAGAAGCTGTTCTTAAAAATGATACAGAACCAAATGTCACCCAGGGTAACTCCTTCTACTGTCTGCTACACTTCAGCACCCCCTAGTGCCGCTCATCCGAGAGCTGCCTGCTTGAGAACTCTGGGTCCAGTGCTAGGGGCTGAAACCCAAGTAGACTGATTTTGAAGGTTGTTTATTGCAATCCTAGGACCCTAGGGAAGACTAGAAGTAGTGATGTAATCTAAGGAGAACCCACCAGCAAAGATACACATCTGAGACCACTAAAATGTATGGGCCATCTCAAAATTATGTGCTAAGCAAGCTTTAGAAATCCAGCAGAAAAGGATCGAATCATAGAAGAGGCAAAGGAGAATCAGATTCAGCAGAATATATTCACATCCCTTTATGGCCTACATGCTTTGGAGCTCCATTCTTGGAGACTCACCAAAACAAAGTTTGCTTTTTGTCGCAAAGAAGCAAAGTTACCTGTCTAAGAGCAGCAGCAATGTCCCTGCTGCGGCTCTTCCATCTATTGGTTAAAGGACGGGAGCACTTCTTTCTGCTCTTGATGTCCCTTTCTGAGTGGAAGGGGCTCCACTAGCAAAACTCTCTCCCTTTACTCGCTGCTTCCCAAAGGACGCATTCTCCCTGCTCTGGTTCACCACACCATCGAGTGTACAAGGGACGGTGTCCATGTAGGGACACTGCAGTCATCCCACACTGTCTGAGGGGCTTAAGTCTATCGAGTTTCAGTTTCAAGAAGCCACTTGACCAAAGAGGCAAGCCACATTTTCCTACCCTTCTCATCAGTTTTAACAGAACTCCAGCTTCCAGTGTGCTGTATTTCTCCTTGCATCAGCCCTTAACTAGTCTAAGCCACACGTGTGAAGGAGAGAGCGTTTGACTGCTCCTACATATGTCCCTAGTACATTTATGACCCTGAGCGCATGTCTGAAGTCACCATTAGCTACATATTTGAAATATGTGTCCATTAGCATATGGCAGGTGGTGAACGGACTGGCGCACATATTGAATATCTTAAGATACACAAACTATTTACCTACCCTGTGTTGAAAAAAAGATGGATCAAGGTATTTGTCAAATCGATCTTCAAATTTAACATCTGACCTTTTCCATTTGACCTAGGAAAAACAAAAATGCTTCAAATTCATAATCTGATGACCAAACTTCCAACAAAATTTAGACAGATCTTTAAAAGTTATGATCTGCTCTGCAGACCTTCATTTAATTCACATATTTCATTTTCTTAAAACCCCAACATTTAGAAATATTTAAAACTAACCAATTTTATTATTTATCAAACTTCTAACAGGGCTTCAAAAGAGTGGGAAAATTCCATTTTCATTCCATTTTATCATGAACCTTCAGCAGCTCCCTCACACGACTTTACTTAATTTCTGTTTAAACTAGTGCTGACTTCCACACTGACCTGATAAACATAAGAATTAAGTCAACGTGTGCTTATGTCACAGGTACTCAAGACAATGCAACGAAGAATCTTTTCATCTCTACCTTTTGGCTGTATTAACTTTATTACAATTTTTTGTAAGTTCATTTATACATGTTATTTGAATGGGGTATGGAATGCACAAAGCTTAAAAGATCATTAAAATCAACTCCTACAATAGATTTCAATTCTCAAGAAAGCTGACAACGAGAGAGGCTACCCACATTGGCTGTCTCTTTCCTTTCTATACCTACTAATCCAAGTGGTACAGAATTAACGGTGTTGGGCCGGAGGCCTCTGACAAACTCTCACACTGCGGTAATATATTATTTCAAAAAAATATAGAGCAAAACATGGTAAACTATACCCACCTGGAGAGGTTTGACATAGCATCTGCTTTACCTGTCACAGTAGAAAGTACACAGAAAATACTACAATCTGAAAATGTGACCCTTACAACAGAAGGCTTGGTTAGCTAACAGGCCAGTTTTCATGACGAATTCTGCTATAGCAAATAGTAGCTTCCGCAAATATATAATTGGTATCTAGTACTACAGGCTTCAGTAAATCTCCCGGATCTTAGGAGGCTCACTTAAATATACTGAGGAAATAGTTTTAATAATACTCTGTTAGATCCCTTTTCAGTCTACACTTTCATTTACTATCTAACATACACATTTAAGTGTTGATAATAAGATCCAGAGGTGCCCTTTACAAATTACTTTGTCACTTACTGAATATGACATCTGGATTTTGGTATTTGGAACCAGTTTCACCTTTCCTTCACTCGTCAGATTGACATCAACAATTCGATTTCCATTAAAACCTATTTCAAGTTTTTTGTAGGTCCAAAGATAGTAATCTTCTCCATTTTCATCTGCTTCACCAACAATACCTATAAAAGAAATGACACTTCATACAAGGTAGTACCATTTAATACTTAAAATAGCCTGGATGCTCCAAGTTTTCCATTTTTTTAAAAATAAAGAGCTCAATAGTACCATTATTCTTCATGGTGAGAACAAGTCATGAGCTGAGGCGTGTGCTGCTCCCAACTACACTACTCGGCAAGCGCACACACCACGTCCAGACCATGATGAAAAAGTGATTAGAGGCTCAGCATCCTCGATCCCTAATTTGGTCCTCAGAGCTTATGCTCTTGCAACAGAATCCCCTTCATTGGAACAGTTGTCACCTTACATGTGCATACGCTTTAATATCTTAAAGTCTCGGGGAAGTGCTAGATCTCCATCTAGTTGGGTAACTCAGCAAATAATGTCAAACTAAAATAAAAACCAAGCTCCCCAGAGTCATCTCTTATGATATACCCTTTGCGGCTAAACTCCACATAGACATATACAATGCTACCAAAACTTAAAATGCTTCCGTCTTGTACCTCAAATCTTAGATCGGTCCCTGGAAAGTCACCTGCATGAAAGAAGAGATGAAAAGAAAAAGTAACAAGAAAAAAAATTTTAATTCTTATTTTGAGCTTGAAGGTAAACAAGCGGCCATCTAGCTCAGAAGCAACAAAGCCCACATGGAAGAACATATCAGTCTGTGTGATCATGAGGTGGCGAACGAACGGATCACTGAAGGCAAATGGGTGCATAAGCAAATGTGGCGAAGAAAGCTGATGGTGTCCATCCAAAAGTATAGCGTCTGGGGTCTTAAAGGCTTGAAGGTAATCAAACGGCCATCAAGCTAAGAAGCAACAAAGCCCACATGGAAGAAGCACACCAGCCTATGCAATCACGAGGTGTCGAAGGGATCAGGTATAAGGCATCATCAGAACAAAAAAATCTTACTATAGTGAATGATGGGGGGAGTGCGGAGTGGAGACCCAAAGCCCATTAGTAGGCCACTGGAGATCCCCTTGCAGAGGGGTCTCGGGGAGGAGACGAGCCAGTCAGGGTGCGATGTAGCAATGATGAAAAATACAACTTTCCTCTAGTTCCTAAATGTTTCCTCCCCGCTCCCACTATCATGACACGAATTCTACCTTGCAGGTCTGGCTAGACCAGGGGATGTACACTGGTACACATAGGAACTAGAAATACAGGGAATCCAGGGCGGATGATCCCTATAGGACCGGTGGTGTGAGTGCCAATACTGGGAGGGTAGAGGGAGAATGGGTAGGAAAGAGGGAACCGATTACAAGGAACTATATGTGACCTCCTCCCTGGGGGATGGACAACAGAAAAGTGGGTGAAGGGAGACGTCGGACAGGGCAAGATATGACAAAATAATAATTTATAAATTATCAAGGGCTCATGAGGGAGGGGGGAGTGAGGAGGGAAGGAAAAAATGAGGACCTAATGCCGGGGGCTTAAGTGGAGAGGAAATGTTTTCAGAATGATGAGGGCAATGAATGTACAAATGCACTTTACACAATTGATGTGTGTATGGATTGTGATAAGAGTTGTAAGAGCACCTAATAAAATGATTTTTTTTAAATTCTTATTTGATCATGATTTGTGAAATTGGCAGGAAAATATCCGAAGTAAAACTGAGAGGGCATTAGGTGGTAGGAAAGGACGCACATCTTCTGCCCCCAACACCATCAGTCTTTGCCCGATGTCCTCACTGAAGCCTCTGCGCTTCCCAACAGGCTCTGAAAGTTACTCAGCAGGGCCTTCATTTGAGGGTTAATGAATCTCACTAAAGTGTTACGGGAAATGTATTACTTCGTATTAAGGATACGTGCTTTTTAACCAAAAGATTTTTTTAAGTGGCAGAAATTAAAGAAGCAGTTTGTCTTGTTGGGGATTATACAGGAATAATTAAATCCTTCTAATAATTTCCTTAAGGTTTATTTACCTACCTCTCTGGAAACCAGACTTTGGGGATGGGGATACTATTATATCTAATAGGAAGCTATCTTTTAGGGCCCTTTAAGATCTGAAAACTTTACCCCAAGAAAACTTAAGACAATTTTTTCCTGGCAGGAAATCCCTCGTGATGCCGACATTTGACAATACCCAGGAAGGCTCCCAAATGATGGCAGGGTCCTAGAATCAAGTGCCTGAAAAGATTTGCTTTATGACAGGAAACACAGTTAAGCACTGCTGCTACAGTGATGCCTTAAAAAAAAAACCTAGCACTGCTGCGACAGTGATGCCTTAACAATGGAAAAGAAGAGAGAGGACGTCTCGCTCCTCAAAGGCCTCCACCTGTTTCTTACTTAGAAAGGAGCAAGTGCACATTACTGGGGTCTCCTGAAATACAGCTCAGAAGTCGACAGGGAACATTTAGTCTACATTTCCCTGCTATTCTCATAGCTGATCATAGCAATGTCTCTGTTAACATAATACTAATTGGGGTCATTTCTATGAAAGGCTCACTATTTATACCTCATTAACATGACACACAAAAGCAGCGATGCATACAATTATCTCTTGAAATGAACTTTCTTGTGAATTTCATCTTAGAATAACACTGAACTCATATCTTACAGGTTTAGTCTTTCATAATGTGCAACTCATTAACAATATCAGCTAACCATTTTAAAAACTAAAAGAAATATAAATTTCATATAAGAGGAAATGTTCATAGTTTTGCCATAATTAATGACCACTATTGAACTTATACCTTGGGCCTAACCCTCATGATTTTTTCTAAACAGGGCTCAGTCATGTTTTTTAATCTATGTAAATGAACATTCTATACATTTTAGTCTAAAAATTTTTCCTATATATGTATTTTTATCTCAATAGTATTTTAAAATATACTATTGGCTATATTGATACTATTACTAGAATGACCAAAAGTCCCATGAAAGCTACTTACACTATCTCTCAAGAAGCTGTTAATAATGCCACTAAAGTGGCCCAGGGGCATGAATAAACTGTCCACAGATGAACAGGTTTTGAGCTTGAACTTAATAGTAAGCTTTAATCTAGGAATAATTCGTTCTTATGATATGGCCCTGCTCCATACTTGCCCTCATGAAGTGATCACTTAAGATATGGGTGCTACAGCAACATATGGTGAAGAAATTAGATGGTGCCCAGCTATCAGAAAGAACAGTGTCAGGGGACTTAAAGGAGTATCTTAAAACAAGCAGCCATCTAAGTGAAGTGACACCTAAATCCACACAGAAAAGGAGTACACCAGCCTGGGTGATCCAAGGACTGTAAATAATAAAATCCAAGACTGTAGGAGGGAACAGTATTAGAGCTTAAATTCTGAGCACTAGGTGTGCAGAAGGCTATGAATGGCAGTAAAAGCCCAAAATCCATTTGCGGAGTCTCCATGTGGATTAAGCCTCCGCTGAATTCCCTCTGAAGATTGATCAGAGATTGAGCAGTGTTGCCCTTAAACAGAGTGCACTGAAAAGCCATTACCTTCATCCACCTAACCAGCTGAGGGAGGGCAGTGTCCCTTACGGGGCTGCCTGGGTGTGTCCTTGATGGAGATCACCATACAAGGTTGGCAAAGTCATGAATCATGCCCTCACTGCCTTGGGGGTGGCCCCTAGACAGATCTTGTAAGCTCCTCTGTCTATCACAACATGCATATCCCAATCAGGGTCCCACTCTTGATCTGGCAACTCTACCACTAACTATGATGTACTGATCTAATACCAATTGTGCATTTGTGACCGTTTTCCTTGACTCTCATGGCCTTTTTAAAGCTCTGTATTATCAGCAAACTCTTGGTCACCATTATCACCTCATACTAATGGCCTTCCTCAACTGGATAATGTCTGTCTTATTCTTATCCCAATTAAGACTTTAATAAATGCTCTCTTATAAAATAATGCGAGGGAATGTCCACAGCCCCCACCTCCCCACAGTGGTGGTGGTAAGGACGCTTATGAGAAAATGTCATCAAGTAGGGTGACTCTGTCACTGGGGTGCTTTGCGTTTAAAATAATCTAATCAAGTCCAACACAACATGCTTTTTGGACTATGTATGTATGAACTTGTAGTAACTGTACCCTAATCTATATCTTAAAACAGATAAGAACTAAAACATAAAAAAATTAAAATATACACAATTTTGGAAAATAACAGGAATGAGGCAAAACAAGTCACTCAAATATTTATTATCTTTATAAAAGACATTCTATCACAGAAACATGTTGGAGAGGAAGTTTCAAATCATTCCAAGCACTGTAGAGCCCTTCAATCAGGAAATTTATGTATATTATATATGCCCATTATATTGGGGAATGTTTTTTTTTGGGGGGGTGGGCACTTTCATGTGAAATTTAGTGACCTAAGAAACAGGGCAGAGGCCATACAATTGTTATTGTACTCATTCTGTGGAACACAGTAAAACACATTTACTGACCCAGTGCACCAAAACCTGAGCAGAGTCATCACATAAATCTTATTATTCAAATGTTCCCAAACTTCAAGTGTGGTACACAATACTTACCCCATATTGGTAAGTCATCTATATACATCTGGTACCAGTAGTGATTTTTTATCGCATATACAAATGCATCTCTCTTTTCTTTATCTAAGTCAATTTCACAGTAAGTGGCTGGCATCACATCATCTGCATAAAAGGAAAACTGCAAATTAGCCCACTTACAAAATCAATGCAGGTAAAATAACACAAGAAGCCAGTGTTTCCTGAAGTTAAAATTTCTATTCGTGATAGTAGAACCTGGGTTGGAAGAGATACGCAAAGCTTCAGCATACATTTTTTTAATTTTTGGTTTTGGTTTTTAAGTTTTTCATAATAAAATCATTTAAATCATTTTTATTATCAACTTTGAAGAAATCTCTTACATCCAGAAAATTACACAGGTTTACGAAGTACCTTTAAAAGGTAATTTTATTTTTAAACTAAAATTAGAAAACTGAAAACACATAAAATTGCCATTTAAAATATACAGAAGCACCAAAAGGTGATTCTAATGGAGATAACAGCTTCTTTCTTTTTTTTTTTTGTTTTAACCATTTTATTAGGGGCTCATACAACTGTTATCCCAATCCATACACACATCAATTGTGTAAAGCGTATTTGTACATCGTTTCTCAAAACATTTTCTCTCCATTTAAACCCCTGACATTAGGTCCTCATTTTTCCCCTCCCTCCCCACTCCCCCCTCCATGAGCCCTTGATAATTTATAAATTGTTTATTTTGTCATATCCTGCCCTGGAGATAACAGTCTCTAGATGTAAGGTTGCTGGGACAAAGCTTCATCTTAACATTCTTGGTAAACCCAGTTTCTGTAGGCCACAGAGTCTAAAAAGAGACCAGAGAATATTCACCATTAAGTAAGCTTAAAAAGTAACTCTACCCAGCGGGATCAGTGTTTACAAATTATTCAGAAGTCCCCTAGAGATGAGTCACTCCCATTCTTGACTGCTTGCAAAACTACTGCTACCACAGGACAGCGCAGACGATCTCCAACGAGCATACTTAGTGTTTCCAAAACGTGCCTGTGCTCATTCATTTCTACCACAAACAGAGCCAAACCTGCAAACACATCGAACTAACACAACCAAAAAAAGCAAGCACAGCTGTGTGTTTTCAAGTTCTCCTGCACTATATTAAACTAATGTTCACCCCCTTAAATGTTCGTGAAAATTCTGAATTCATAAGCTGAATCCATACAGTATGAATTTTATTGGTACCTGTATGACCATTTCTACAAGAAATGGTCATCTGAGTTCTAATTCAAAATATCACCAGCAGATTGAACTGTTATGTGAATATGGGATGTGAATTACAAGCCAACAAAACTGTTTACAAAAAGATTATCTCCTGCCCTCAACAGAACTGATTTCTCTTTATTAATACTCAGCCTAGAGTGAATATCCCAAAACTACACTAGCAATGATGGCTGGAAACAATGAAATTCCAAGGAACAGGGCTAAGGAATAACTCACTGTCCCCCACAAAGTGGAAGAAGACAATTACTAGGCCTCCAATAATGGCTCCCAGGTCTATTTCTTTCCACCAAGGCCCTTCAAGGCAGCAAGGCATTAAGGATTTTGGTGAAAACTGAGGCTGAGCATTGGAGGGAGGAGGGTGGTTAGGGATGAGACGGGTGGCAACTCAGCAGAGGTTGGGCAAACTGGCAGCAGGAGACCCCCGTGGGCCTAAGGAGTCTGAGCAGAGGGGCAGCAGACAGCTACAGAGGACGTGGCACCAAAGGAAGGTCGCTGCTTGCAGGCAAGAAACGGCCGCTGGGGAGATCTCACTGCTACCTCCACACAGCCACTGCATTTCTCACTATTACGGGAGAGCATAAACTGAAATTCACTGATAATGGCCATGACAATTCAGCGGTCTTATGTATGGGGTTCAGCTGTAGACATTCAGACATTTAAAGCTTATAAAGGGTTAGTGATGCCTCTAAGTCTGACTTTACTTCAACCCTCTCTCTGACCACCCAACCCTCCAGCCAAACTCAACCGTCTGCCATTCCCATTCACTTGGCCTTCCCGAGACTTCTCTGCCCAGGCGGTCACCTCTACCTGAAGTGTCCATCCTAACAGCTCCTCTGCCCCTCCGCCTAAGACTCCCTCCTCTCCACAGAGCCGGCCCTGCCCCCATACACCTCATGCTCTCACAGGGCTTCTTCAATCCTGACTCTTATGCAGAATTTCTGAGGCTGCAAACCATTCTGTGGGAGTAGAGTGCTTCATCCTTCTCCAGAGGAGCCACTGGTGGGTGTGAACTGCCAACCTGGCAGTTAGCAGTCCAACAATTACCCAACAGCACCCCCAGGGCTCCTTCTTTTACCTTTAGTCCTTCAGAAAAGACCCCCAGGTCTTGAGAGCTGTCCTTAACTAATTGCCTCCTTTTGACTGTGAGCCATGCCTGCACAAAGCAGGCACAACACAAATTTCTAAGAGCAGGGTTTACTTAGCAGTGGCAGTCACTAGGTTATTTAGCAAATGCACACCTCTATTTATCAGTGTGTGAGCTCTGCGTTTGCTGTGTGCGCGCACAACCTACAGGAGAAAATGTCAATATAAACAAATTAAACTTTTAAGCACAGAATCTTGGGGGATTGACAGAGGCCTTAAAGCAATGGTTCTCAACCTGTGGACCGTGACCCTTTTGGGGGTGGAACGACACTATCTCAGGGTCGCCCAATTCATAACAGTAGCATTACAGTTATGAAGTAGCAATGAAAATAACTTTACGGTGGAGGGGGGTGGTCACCACAGCATGAGGAACTGTATGAAAGGGCCGCAGCCTTAGGAAGGTTGAGAACCACTGCCTTAAAGATTAGCATTCGGTGATGGGAAATCTAGAAAAGAATTGCTATACTCAAAGCAAAAGCCTGTCATCACTGGCAGGCTGGAAAATGGGCGTGGAGGGTCACATTCTAGCGGACTTCCTTTGCTAGGCGTGAGAGTGGAATACAGACATCACAGACAATCCGGGAGCCTGGGTGTCCGACTGCATGCAGCAGCACTGCTCTCCGGACAGAGCAGAGCAGACTCGGCAATCTACTCCACCTCACACTCGCAATCCTTGGCAAAGTCTCGCATGAAATCACCGTGGGCAAATTCACACCGAATCAAACAGAAGCCCTGACTCTATCTGATGCCAGCCAGGGGAATCAAATCAAGCCATTGAAGCTCATCTGCCCACCAGAGATAACATCCATGCTACCTCCTCCCCAGAGCTGTCGTAAGGACAGATGTGCCCCTACATGCAGTGTTCTTATGTCTCCTTGGTCCACGTATCCCTTTAAGGGTCTGAGGAGAACGATGTCTCTGTTCCCCCACAAAATGCACATACACATAAAATGAAGTGTCTGGTTCAAGAGGGTTCGTGACCCCTAAATCCAGAGTTTCCAGTGGAATTCTGTAGAACCGGAGCCTATCACAGCTTTGCTGTACAGGAAGGCACTCAGTCACTGCCAAATGAATTAAAACATACACTAGGAAAAAAGACAGGCACTCATTTAATTGAACAATTACAGATACAGAGTTACTGATTAACTGACCAATCAGACTGGCAATATAGCTTCACAGGTTGTTTTAGATGTTTATTTGACAGCATATATCAAAAACTGCCATTAAAATGTTTATAGCCTGTGATTTAATAAGCCTACACCTGGAATCTATCCTGATGAAAGATTCAGAAATGTATCACCTTGTGTGCGAGGATGGTCAAATGCACTGTCTTTCTGGTGGCACAAACAAAAGACAAGAGAATCAGATCATTTCATCCCCAGGAAACGAGAGGAAATTACAGTATACAAATTAGAGAAACTATAGTACACAGTTATAGATTACAATATAGTTGTAGTTTTAAAGAATAATTGATATTGAGGATAAGCTCAAAAAATGTAAAGGAAAAAAGTACAATTAAAGTTTACGCAGTGAACACTAAGTACTATTAAAACTTAAAAAGTACTTGCATACAATTTGGAGAGAAAATATATAATTTAGAGGACAGCATTATAATGGTTTGAACAGGGCTCATGAAAAGCCTATGCTTAACGAATTTTATTGGCAATTAGCACAGGTTTAAGGAATGGCTAATGCCAACAATTGGCAAATTTAGGATTCAAATTATCTGGTCTGCCTAAAACAATTTAGTGGAAGCCAGACAAAATATATCAAGTTCCCAAGCTTGCTATATTAGACAAAGCAGATCAGCAATACAAGCACGCCTCTTCCATCTCCTGAAACCCCACTACAATGTCAGTACAGAATAACACGACTGTAAACTTACAAGGACAAAAGAGAGAGTGGACCAAAGATTCCAACACAATTTTGGAAAATGGAAAAGAAATGGACGATGGCCAACGAGTACAAGAGCAGCGCAAACACAGAGGCGGAATAGCTGTAGGAAGAGGAAGGATTTCCCAAAAGACAAAGAGGACTGAAAGCATCAAGGGCCTAGAAAGGCGGAGGGTAGATTCAAGGATGATGAAAATCTGTACATGGAGGTTAGGTGCTCTGGTACCTCCTCATTCCATCCCACAGCCAGATGAATACCCTCAGACCCCTCCCCTGCAGTAGGCCAGAGGTATTTTCTGCTAGAGAACGTATACCAGAGAGGCTCAAAGTCAAGGATGTGAACAGCATTGTGTCACCTCCCCACCCTTTGACATTTGGACCTACACTACTGAGACACATACCTGGAGGGAAATTTTGCCTAATGGTTCAACCCGGGAGCTCAACTGCCTAGGTTAGAATTCTCATGCTGTCACTTTCCAGCAGGGGGTTCTTGAATAAACTGCACCGAAATTCGTAAATGAAGGCAATGAGCAAGTGGTGTCCAACTCTGGCCGAGAATTACTACTCCAGATCATATACAATGATCACCCAGACAACCAACTATCACAAGAACAAGGAGGGCTAGACCGTTTAATAGGAGCAGGAAGGACCAGTCCCTGGAGAAAAACATCCTGCAGGGTAAAGCAGACGGTCAGTAAAAAAAAGGTGGAAGCCCTTCAACTAGATGGAATAACAGAAGCTGCACCGATGCGTTCAAATATAGGGCAGATTACGAGGATGGCAAGGACCAGGCGTGCTTGGTTCTATTCTATCCAGGGTCAGTATGAGTCAGAACCAAGCTGACGGCATCTAGCAACATGTCTTAACTGGGGCATTGGTGGTTTAATGGTAAAAGCCTCACCACCTTCCATGCAGAGCTAGGTTCAATTCCCGCCCAGTACACTGGCTGTCGCTGGAAACTTGAGTATTGCTATGATGCTTAACAGGTTTAAGCAGAGCTGTCAAACTTAAGTGAGGCAAATTTAAGATTGACAAATTTAGGATTCAAATTATTTGGTCTAAAACAATCTGGTTGAAAAGTGGCCAAAAATAATATAAAAAAAATGAAAACAGGAAGAGAAAGACCTGGTGATACAGCCCTAAAATCTCAGCCGATGACATCTCTATGGATCACAACAGGACAATCTACAAGCAATCAGACAATGGCACAGGACCGACAGCACTTGGCGCTACTGTATGAGGGGCTGCCCTGAGTCAGGGGCCAACTTAACAGCAGCTAGCCCCACTCCACCACCACAGTTGCAACAGCCAGAGGCCGAGAGCTAGAAAGTTACGCCCCAGAGAACCAACAGGCTAGTATAACAGGTTGGGGATAAACCAAAGCCTATACTCAATAAACTAATCTAACATTTCCAAATTGCTAACACAAAATCAAGTTGGAAGTACAAGCCTACAGTATGCTACCGGTATTCATAACAATGACGGCTTCGGGAATGAAAACCATGTATTTGGTACATGTTCTCCTTTTACCTAATGAGGAGTTTGGCACGTGGCTATTATCTGCTACACTTCACAGGTGAGGGAACTGAAACTCAGAAAAGCTAACTAATTTGCCCTCGAAACGCAGGTAGGCCAAGCCAGAGCTGGGGCAGCAATTCTCTCGGCCCCGAAAGCACAGTGCTCTTCTCGCTGGGCTGGGCAAGGTTCCGGGAGACGGCCTCTATTCGACAGTGACTCAGGCCGGGTAAAAAGGCACTTCATTTAAATCTGCTCCTGTTTTGCTGACCTTTCCTTTTATTTGTTTTTAAATCATTTTATTAGGGGCTCGTACAACTCTTATCACAATCCAGACATCAATGGAATCAGGCATGTCTGTACATATGTTGCCTTCATTCTTTTCTAGACATTTACGTTCTATTGAGCCTTTGGTATCAGTTCTTCCCCTCTACCCCAACCCATGCCCACCTTTCCTTTTAAATTCACTGTGGTAAAGTATACATGTAAGAAACATTACCATGTGGACCATTTCTACGTGTACAATTCAATGACAGGAATTACATCCCCATGCAGTACAAACATCACCACGAACTATGGGGCTTTGCAAAATGTGTGGGAAGATTCGCTGGCCTTTTCATTCGGTTTTCCACAAACTTTCCGAAGCCCCTTTCTATTTCCAAAAGGTTTCCATGACCCCAAGCAGACATACAGCACTCTGAGCAGCGACTCCCCTCGTCCCTCCCTCAGCCCGGAACTGCTGACAACTTTCGTCCCTGCATTGCCCAGTCCAGACACTGCACACAGTGACATCGTACACTGCTTGTCCTTTTGTGCCTGACTTCTTTCCCAGTGTTATATTTTTAATCATCTTATTGGGGGCTCGTACAACTCTTATCACAATCCATACAACCATCCACTGTGTCAAGCACATTTGTAGTCATTATCATTCTCAAGACATTTGCTTTCTACTTGAGCCCTTGGTATAAGCTCATTTTTTTGCCCTCTCTCCCTGCCCCCTCCCTCACGAACTCTTGATAATTTATAAATTATTATTTTTGCCATGTCTTACACCATCTGCCATATCTCCCTTCCACCCACTTTTCTGTTGTCCGTCCCCCAGGGAGGAGGGAGTGATATGTAGATCCTTGTAATCAGTTCCCCCTTTCTACCCCACCTTCCCTCCACCCTCCTGGTATTCACCTCTCACCACTGGTCCTGAAGGGATCATCTGTCCTGGATTCCCTATGTTTCCAGTTCCTATCTGACCAGTGTACATCCTCTGGTCTAGTCAGATTTGTAAGGTAGAACTGGGATCATGATAGTGGGGGGGAGGAAGCATTTAAGAACTAGAGGAAAGTTGTATGTTTCAACGTTCACACTATAATACTGTCAGGGCTCATTCACATCAGAGGAAACCTCTATCAGAATGTCATTTCTCTTTAGGGATGAGTACTATTCTATGTTATGTATTTACTCATCTGATGAGGACTTCGGTTGTTCTGCCCTCTTTAATGTATTTCCTCTAAATGGTGTCAATTTAGCATTTTGCTATTTGAGCGAAAAAAGAAAGCTGTACGTAAAATGTTAAGTGAGAGGCATCCTACATTAAATTCAGATGATTATTCTTAAAAAACAACAACAATCTCACTGCCACTGAGTTGACTTTGACCCATAGCAACCCTACCAGCTGGACTGAAACTGTCCCTGTGGGTTTCTGAGGCTGTAAATCTTTATTGGCTTTGAACACGGACCTGTGGTTGCCAGTCCCCCACAGTATAACCCACTGTGCCACCCGATGATCATTAGTTCCCTAAAACAGTCTACTTATGACTCTCATGTAACAAGACAATCACAATCCCATTAACCTGACAGAATTTACTAGATTAAAAAAAGTATATGTACAAGTGTATACAGTTATTTTTATTATTTCACAGTATTTCTAAAATGTTTCTTAGCCAAATATGCCTTCAGAAAAACTTGCAAAAGTAAACACTTAAGGAATGAAGGACCAACAATATACACATTTCTAAACGTCCACAGTTCACGTGGAGGCAGAATGCTCTTGCGTTTACTCTCATTATTACATTCCTATACTGTTTAAACCTTGGGTATCTCACTGCATCTCTGGCCCTCAGCTGAATTTAACCTTAGAAATTCTATGTTCCTATAAGTAACAACCAGGACACCTCCTCAAAGACTTTTTTCAAAGCATGACCAGTTTGATGGTTGACCCTGGTGAATAAGAGGGACTACAGTGGAGGGGGAAGAGAACGTGAACTTCACTTAAATTTCTTCTGGACTATTAGATTTAGCAGCATCTGTGTTTCCAACTTCTGCAAGAATTGCTGAAGAACAAAGGGTTAAGAAAGCAGGAGTCACCTGTTGAGGAAATCAGAGTGAGGATTTCAAACACTGATGGCAGGGTCCCTAATAGCAAAGGACTCTGGGTCCTTGCCTCTTCTCTCTCTCTCTGTCTCTAAAATTCAAAAACTGAGAATAGGTACCAGATAAGGAGAAGAGTAAATTAAGTGAACAAAAGCAGTACTGAGGTTCTCAAACAACACATATTCTAAAGTATTTTCCTTATTTGTGATCAAGTATTTCAATTACTTGATTGCATAAAATATAACCTCCCGGCATATTTATAATGATTCATAAAATTATAGGCCAGGCCTCTGTGGTTTAGATTTAGAAATTAATTTTATAATTAATCTCCAAGAAATATAGAGAAGGGTAGATTACAAATGTTTACAGCTATTCTCATCAACAAAAATTCTAAAAATAAGAAAAACACTGAACTAAATCAAAGTTAAAGCTACTTTACCTTTTAAATATCTTGTGTCATACTCCCTCCCCCAACGTGCTAAAAATACCAGGAGTCACTCACTAGTCACCTTATTCATGGAGACAATCAAGTAAAAAATGTAGTAAATGATTTTACTAAAGTCAATACAGTAAAGATTAAAATTCAAAGCTCCTGATTATGAAATCTAGGCTCTATTCAAGCCAAGATACCTAATCAGAGATCCCCCAGAAATGCAAACTACTCCCGCTTCTGCTCGCTTCTGCTCGCCGTGAAAATGCCTGTGCAGGAAACGCTCTCCCTGGAAAACTTCAAAGAGGGCGAGCAAAGTACAAACACATTCAAAGAACCCGATAAATCAGGTACTTGCATAATAAAAAGATAAATAGAATTTTTTTCTCCAGTCTAACACATCTTTGCTTAAAATTTGAAACCCCAACATGCTACAAGTATTAGGAAGGTATATTAAGAAAACACCACATATGCTGGGCCAATGGTATAATTTGAAATTGAGGTTCAATACAAAATTTTTTAATATCCACACAACCGTTACAGCCTTCTGAGAAGACCCAAACCCACTGCCACTCTAACCATTTCAACCAAAGTGAGCCTGTAGGGGACAACAGAACTGCCCCTGGGGGTTATGAGACTGTCGCTGGGTAGAACGCCTCATCTTTCTCCCTCACAGTGGCTGGTGGTTTTGAACTGCTGATCTTGCAGGTAGTAGCCCAACAGATTAACCATTACACCACCAGGGCTCCACTATAGCCTTGCACTTCCAGAAATCACTTCACTAAGAATCCACATGGGCTGTACTGAGTCATGCATACCCAAGTGCAGAGGGTTTACTAGAAAAAAACATGTGGTATAGAGGTATAATTATATTAACAATTATTTATTGTTTTACATTTACTCAATATAAATTTGATAGTTGCCAATAATCATTTCTGACCCCACTATACTTAACTCATGACTTAAAGGTGTGTTTGTTTTTGGGGGTAGCATCTAGAGCAGTGTTTCTCACTGTGAGCCATCAGCAGTGTCTGAAGACATTTTTGGTGCCACACCTTGGGAGGGGAACTACTGATTTCTCATAGGAAGAGCCCGGGCAGACAACCCCTACACCCAAACATCACCCAGCTCCAGATGCCAGTAGGGTTGAAGATGAGAAACCCAGGTCCTATAATCTATTTAATTGTTAGGACTATTAGATTTACTTACCTTTGAATTTAATATCCAGACCACTAAACTCCAATTCAACACCTTGAAGTGCTTCTCCCAGAGTTTCATGATAATGACTAATACTTTTTTTTGACCCTACACAGAAGGGCAGCGAAAAGTACTTGTATGTCTCTTGTCGATTATGGTAGGGCCCAACAGTATTCATCCATAAGACAACTTCCTCTTTATCTTGATACTGCAACAAAAGAAGTAAATAAGGATAGGTTAGAAAAATAAGTCACACAAAAGCCTAATTCAAATGAAGACACTCCTTAGTTGCTCTAAACAAAAGTGGATACACTATCTGTTTGGGAAGCTATGAAATAAAATATTAGAGGCTTACTTTAATCTAGTGATCAAAGTTCACATATCAAAAATGAAACCTGGTACATTTTAAAATTATATTCCATAACTGTAGCCTCTGGAAGATTCATCTTTCCCAACTGATAAAAAAGATTTGTAGACGTTAGTGTTTAAACAACGCGCAATACACCCATAAGCGGATGTTTAAAATTTAATGTTTACACTATCAAATAAAGTATATCTAGACCCAACATGATTCATCATGCTAATATGGACAAGAAACAAGGAAGTAAAATCAATAGATTAACCAGAACTCATTTTAAACATCCAGTAAGCCAATATTGCCAAACAAAAAGGAAAATGATAAAATTTCATCTCCTTTCTGATCTCTGGGACAGCCCTGGTCAAAGAATTGAACAAGAGAGAAGTAATCAAATCAGAGAAAAGCCGGTAGGAAAACCTCCAGTCCATTCAAACCAACCTCCTACCTTCCCCTCATCAGACTGAAGGGCATGTATCATATGCATATTTTGGAATAAATTGTGTTTTTACCCAAGGGTGACTACTACATAACTGGATCTGGAACATGACCCAGGGGCTGTGGGTGGTGCCTTCACCCCTCCACCGTCCAGGTGGGGGATCTGCCAGCATTTCTCAAATCCCCTTAAGTTTAATGTTTCAATGATTCCATGAAAACTAAGTAGCTGGGTAAACTAATTTTCCTAATTAGCAATATAAAATAAAATAGCATAGTATAAGTTCAAGTCAAGTAAGAGTACAGAAGTCAGTTAATTAATTGAATTTACTGAGTGCCTACTATGAACCAGTTTTGTCGTGAGGAATCTGCTCTGAGCAGACATGAGAAGATGGGCATTCAACAGATAATCATAAGGTAATGTGGAGAATGCAAAGAAAAAACTATCTTACCACGCACGTCCTTCTTTCCATCCTCAACTAATCAATATACATTTACAATTGAAACTCCAAACCACAAATCAATCCCACTCAAATGTTTCTCCCCATCCAACTTTGCTTTTCTAATAGTGTTACCATTCTTGGAGGCACTAAGACCCAAACCCTAAGGCACCACAGTGTTGCAGAGGACGAAAAGCTGACTTGTCTGGCCTTCTCTAAAACATGCCCTCCTCTGCCTACTGATTCATGTCACCAGCACCCTAGGACTTAGACCCAGTCACTTCATCTTCAAACATAATAACTGCCCCAATGTTCATACATACAAGAGGCTTCAAAAGGCTCATGGAAAAATGGAATGAAGGATAATGTAATTTTTTCACAAACTTTTTGAAGCCCCCTTATATAAGATATTATCTAGATCAACAAGGAATTAATAAAGTATCTCATTTTTCAAATATGTAAGAGACCATGTACCAAACCAGTACTGAGTGTGAAGGATATCTACGACTACTCTATTCACTGGCATGAAGGTTTTGAGACTGTAACTCTTCACGGGAGTAGAAAGGCGGTCCTTCCCTCTCATTAAGTGGGGGCAGAAAAAAATACAACACATCAAGAAACAAGAAATGGCAGCAGAGAGGTAAATGAGTAACAATTAAGAAAGAAGTCTTACTATTAAGGTGATAAAGGGCTATTATGGCAAATAAAGGCAGGGTGAATTCTGCTTGATGAACAACCAAGTAAGAGCATCATCATCATGTATCTATTCAGAAAAGCCAACCAGACAATCTTCCTCTATGAAGGTATAAATCAAAGGTCTGAAGGACCTACCCCCATAAACCCATTTATAACTATTCTTGGCCAGTTAGAGCGCTGGCTTCATCAATCACAGCATTCCTTTCTGCTTAATTTATGCACAGTCTCAGAATTCTCAAACCAGTGCTCTAAACCCAACCCTCAGCCCACTGCCATTGAGCAAATTCCGATTCATAGTGACCCTAAAATAGGGTTTCCAAGGCTGTAAATCTTCACTGGAGCAGAAAAGCCCCATCTTTCACCTTGAGTGGATTGGAACTGCCGACCTTCATGGTAGCAGTCCAATGCCTACCCCGCAGCACATCCAGGGCTCCTTGGTCCTCTAAACCAGCCACTCCGAACAGTCCGGAGTTGGTATCAGCAGGAAAACCTGATCACCATTCCTTCCTAAGCAGAAGGCTCTCTGTACAATGTAATGCACTGACTCACTATGAGGTATTTAATCAATGACAGCACAACAAATAAATACTAATGGCGTTTATTGGCCACCTAGCAAAAGACGTTTGAAGCTTGTGAGCTGACTGCAACCATACTAGTAGCAAAAAATCAGACAGGGAAGTAACAAAATGCATTTAGAGAAAATTGGAACATTGAAGAAAAGGGCCTATGAATGGAGATTTTGCCATTAATCCTGTTGACAGAGGCTACAGAAATGCTCTATTTGTAACTCAGGAAAATGAGCACAAAAATTTATCTTTTGTAAGTCTAATATATACAGCACATACTCAAGTATAAGCCAACCCAACTATCAGCCGAGGCACCTAATTTTACCACAAAAACTGCATTAAAAATGGGCTGGAAAAGCTTGACTTATACTCGAAGTATATACGGTATATCCCTTTAAAAACAGACCAAAATGTGAACAAGAATGCTTATTCAAATAGGACACTTTTGTATATGCTAAAACCATCTCATTGCATCGAGTGAATGTCAACTCATAGCAACCTATAGGTCTGGGCCCAACTGCCAATGATGGTTTCCAAGACTCCAGCTTTTACAGGAAGAGAAAGCTGTCTTTCTCCCATGGAATGTCAGATGCTTGTGAAATGCTGACCTTGCAGTTAGCAGCTGAAACAGACAAAAGTTCAGGGTCACAATGTGGGCTAAGTCACACAATCTGAAGTGAGTAGCTTGAAGCATTCTTCAACAGGGCGGGACGGTGACGACAAGGGTCATCTTCTGAAATAGTACTGAAGTAATCATTCGAAACACACACACACACAGAGTTCAGGGTGAAGACTGAAGCAATGATAGTGTCTCTTTTAAATCACTCTAATGCAGACCAGGCCAAATATAAGGGCTTGAGCCCTAAACAGAGCAACACTTAAAATGTTCACTTTTCATCAGAGTCTTTGCTTATCCTTGAGAACAGTCACCCCACCAAACAAGGTCAACAAGAGTTCTTCCTTATGAGAGAGAATATATTTTAAATTATCTTGAAATTAGAGAAGGCCAAAAAGGATGGCTTAAAGCGAGTGTTATAAAAATATATCTATTTCCCTAAAAATGCTGACAAAGCCTTTGAGTAGAGCTGGGAAACTAAGGGAAGAGCGTGCCAGTTAAGTCTTCCTTCAGAACTAGAGGAAAGAACTAGGAGTCAAAGGACATTTACAGAGGTCTAAATTTAGGTATGTACATAATAATAAAGAAATAGATCTATTTACATATATTTATTTAAGTATTAAGGTAGCAGATGGACATTGGGCCTCCACTCAAGTACTCCCTCAATGCAAGAACACTTTGTTCTAATAACCCGGCATTCTGTGATGCTCACCTTCCCGACATGAAAACTGAAGGCAAAATGGGTGCATAAGCAAATATAGTGAAGAAAGCTGATGGTGCCCAGCCATCAAAAGCTATAGTATCTGAGATCTTAAAAGCTTGAAGATAAACAAGTAGCCATCTAGCAGAAGCAAATAAACCCATATGAAAGAAGCACACCAGCCTGTGTGATCATGAGGTGTCAATGGGATAAGGTATCAGGCATCAAAGACCCAGAACCAAAAATCGTATCATGTGAATGAGGGGGAGGGCAGAGTGGAGACCCAAAGCCTATCTGCAGACAATCGGACACCCCCTTACAGAAGAGCCACAGGAAGAGATGAGCCAGTCAGGGTGCAGTATAGCACCGATGAAATATACAACTTTCCTGTAGTTCTTTAATGCTTCCTCCCCACCCACTATCATGAGCTCAATTATACCTTACAAATCCAGCTAGATCAGAGCATGTACAAGAGCTGGAAACACAGGGAATCCAGGACAGATAAACACCTCAGGACCAACAATGAGAGTAGCGATACCAGGAGGGTAAGGGGAAAGTGGGAGACAAAGGGAAAACTGATCACAATGATCTACATATAACCCCCTACCAGGGGGATGGACAACAGAAAAGTGAGTCGAGGGAGACAGTGGTCAGTGTTAAGACATGAAAAAAAATTATGTATGGATTGTGATGAGTTGTACAAGCCCCCAATAAAATGTTGTTTTTTTAAAATTAATAAATTATCAAAGGTTTGGGAGCGGGGAAATGAGCTGATACCAAGGGCTCAAGCAGAAAGAAAATGTTTTGAAAATTATGATGGCAACATATGCACAAAAGTGCTTGACACAATGGATGGGTGCATGGATTGTGATAAGAGCTGTAAGAGCCCCCAATAAAATGATTTTTTTTTAAAGAGTCTTCCTTCCACCAATTTACTAGTACTTAGAAACCCTTAGGTGAAAGGCTGTCTAACTCACTTTCAAAACAGTGCAGGAAATCCTAAAACAAAGCAAAAGACTCAGACTCATGCCTTATCTCCTGAAATGCCTGCCTCTGGTTCACCAGCCAAACTCTCCAGCTAGTAAGCAGCAACCAAGGAATTTGCACCAAGCAGTTCTCTCTTAAAATGTGCTCTTTAGGGAAGCGTAGGCCAATCACAAATCCTGAGAAAAGTGTTTTATGAAGTAGCTACATTTTAACAAGAAGACAGGTGGGGAAGGCAGGAAAGCACAGCAGGGGATCAGGAGAGCCCCAAGGGTGGCAGGAATTCCTTCCATCAGCACATCAACCCCCCTTGTAGAAAGTGACCAAATAGGAGAAGACAAATGGAGGCTCCCCGTATTCATCTATTGGCCCCATCTTTCTCCCGACTCTCAAAACAGTTTCCTTGTTAAC